GTACAGATATACAAATGAGGAGGTGAATGGTAAGAAGTTATGCCCACCCTTAAAACATTCAGTAGTTTTCTTGGTTGTGTTAGGTATTTTTATTCTGAGACTATTGTTTATGAAATGTGAAATAAAACTGAGTCACTATGAGACAATCTAATTCTGGTGTCCCTGGTGCTCTTGATAATCAAGAGTGCCCTTTGTGGAGAAAACAGGAGATACAGATATCATATAGAAAAGCTTAGGTAAAAATAAAACTTCTGAGTCCTGAATTTAAATTGAAAACATCAGAATAAACCCAGGCAAAATCCTTGAAACAGTGACCAACTCCATAGCAATGAGCATCGTGGACTCTAGATATGTTTTTGAAACCCCATGTTTCAGTTTTCCAATAAGTAAGCCAGTGCTTCTTGAAGAAAATGGTTGATTTTGCATGGGAAATGTGCAAGATGATCTTGGAGCACCTTGTCATACCTAGGAACCAGGAAGATTTGTCAAAGAGTACAAGGGTCATATAAAAAGAACCTGTGGACTGACCAACTTGAAAAAATTCCCAGTGAGCCCAGTAAAGATAATTTGACTTACAGTAAGAATGATAATTGACATGGACTGAAATTCATTAAACATCAAATATGTTTAACTCTTAAGTTCATAATGACATTTTAAAAATGGTAATTGGTTACCTTAAGAGGATGATAGAAAATTAATTAACCATATAAAATTAATAAGTAAAAGTCAATAATCAAGCATTTATCTTGCCTTTTCCATACTAATTTTGCTACTAGGTAACCAAGTAATACATCAGGGAAAGCACCTCATTATAAAACTATCCCAGCTAATAAATGAAAAAGAAATGACAGTTTTGCAAACTGAATGAAATCAATGGATCTGAGGAATGAACATCAAGACCCATAACATCACAAAAAGAAGCACATTCTGTGCCTTTCAGTGGAAGAATCTGACACTACCTATGGCCTTGCCAAAGAGATCAAACCAGAGTCTGTCTGATGAAACCTCTGGATCCAGCTGCCAATTTTCAGGAAATAGAGGAGTGTGTTGAACTGCACCAAGAGTGCGCTTTCAGCAAAATCCAGACTCTCTCTTGGCTGGGTGTGGTGGCTTACTCCTACAATCCCAGTATACTGGGAGGCCAAGACAGAAGGATCTCTTGAACCCAGGCATTTCAAGACCAGCCTGTGCAGCATGAAGAAACCCCATCTCCAAAAAAAAAATTTGCTTTGCTGTGTGTAATGGCATGTGCCTGTAGTCCCAGCTACTCAGAAGGCTGAGACGGGGATTGCTTGAGCCCAGGAGGCCAAGAGTGCAGTGAGTCGTGATCATGCCACTGCATGCACTCCAGCCTGGGTGGCAGAATGAGACTGTCAAAAAAAAAAAAAAAAATCCAGACTGTTGAAAACTACAGGTCAAATGGCCAAGCTTCCTCTATTTTAAGGAGAAAAAAAAGGGGTAACCTGTAGATCATCCTTTTTTAGGGTAGATTAAAATAATTAAAAGACATTACCAAAAAATCAGGAAAATTCATACATTCGAATGTCTTTCAGGCCCAAATTATTCAATTACAAATAACTCTATGGGAATTGATCTGAAGCTTTTGAATTATGTGTTAAAGTATGTAATTCTGGAAATGTGTAAGTTCAAGACTTTTAAAATATCTCTATACTGTTTGATCATTTAAATTTACTTGTTTTATTAATTCTGTCAAAGAATTGTTATCTGAGGCTGTTGGATATTTTCGGTTACAAAGAAAACCAAAGAAAATATTTTTCAACGTATCTGACTTTTTTCAAAGCAAACTCTTTGTAAATACCTCATTCATCCCCTTCTTTTTTATTTCCACATCTCTGACATGTTTAGATCCAGAATGAGCAGTTACTGACTTCTTTCATAGGTGTAATTTACAATTCCAGATCTAAAATTACTTATCATGAAATGGATCTCTGTATTCTTTGTTTTGCTAATTATTTCAGGTGATTGTCAATATCTTTTAGTGCCAGAAGAGGGCAATGCAGAGCAGCGTTGCTCTGAGTTCTTTGTGACGAATAGCACAGTCTAAGAATGCCCTTTGCCAAAAAAAATGTATGCAAAGCTTTGCTATAGAAGTAAGAAAAACAAAGGGAATAACTAGATAATCACTAAAGGCCATCTTTATTTGGTAGAAAAAAATAATTAAGGTACATAATGATCTAAATACATATCTAGCACATCAAATATATATCAAATATGCATATGTATAAAGAAGACATATATGTGTATCTATATAGATATATGAAAGAAGATATATATGTGTGTGTGTGTGTGTGTGTGTGTGTGTGTGTGTGTCCTTTCCTTCTTTTAAGAATATCTCAAAGGCCGGGCACAGTGACTCACGCCTGTAATCCTATCACTTTGGGAGGCTGAGGCAGGCAGATCACTTGAGGTCAGGAGTTCGAGACCAGCCTGGCCAACATGGTGAAACCCCATCTCTACTAAAAATATGAAAATTAGCCAGGTATGGTAGTGCACGCCTGTAATCCCAGCTACTAGGGAGGCTGAGGCAGGAGTATTGCTTGAAGCCAGGGGGTGGAGGTAGCAGTGAGCGGAGATCACGCCACTGCCCTCCAGCCTGGGCAACAGAGTGAGACTCTGTCTCAAAAAAAGTACATTCCAAAGCTAAATCTGATGTTTTTCTATTATAATATTTATTTTCCTGCTACCTCTGGCGTTAAAGAACAGTTCTCAAGTACTCCCTTGTATGGATTAATACTGTATTTTGTCTTAATCAGTTCAAGCTCAGAACAGAGGCCATTCAGTAGCCTTTTAGCAATCTTGTTGTGCAGGGCAGAAATCATTTAGGCAATTGTGTACCAGATATTATTCCAAAGGTTTTCCCTAACATGAAATTGCAGGGGCAGTAGGTAAGTGATTGGATTCAGGCTGTCATCTTCCACTAAGGGGAAGACAACTGGCACATGTTATTGTCCTATGAAGATGAAATAAGAGTTGTGGGATCCGGAGTCCTCTCTTAAAACTCAGTCAGCCTCTGTGCCTGGGTCTGTCTCAGGACTATGTGTGTTCTTAGGTGTCTAAAGAGCAGATGCTCCGTGATGATAGGGCCGCCAGCTGAGTCCTCCGTCCTCAAAAGCAGCTCTAAGCACCTTTCCTTAGGAGTTGAGCTGTCAACTCAGACGTGTTAAATCCATGCCAAAAGTCAACTCTTTACAGGAGGGGAGAAGTAGGAAAGCTTCATGAGACATCATTGGAAATAGCATGTACGAGCTACCAAGGAAATGGAATTTCCAGATAAATGGCATCCTCTCTTGTCTCCTCATCCATACATTAACTTTTCTCCTAAGAGTTCTAGTGAATAATGAAACCAATTCAGTTTTTCATTTTTGAACGGAAAAATGAATGAGCCACCTTTGCTCATGAGGGGGAAATTGCCAGTATGTTCCATGGGCCTGACCTTTATTATGTATCCGCTGTAAAATGTGAAAAGTGAATTGCTAGTTACGATGTTCTCTAGGCTGTCATTTGTGACTAAAAAGACCTGTCTGTGACTCTGGTTCTTCTCCACTATGGCTTTATGAACACATTGGTTGACATTATAGCATCTGTTCATAGCTTTGTTTTTAGAATGGGATGCTGTGGCTTTGTACCTCAACATACCTAGCCCTTGTTGAAAAGAAACTAACGAGGTGGTCTGTTTTTACTGAATACAGAGTTTTCTGTCTTCTGAGGGTATTTTCCCCCCTCAACTTTGTTTGAAACACAGAATGCTCTGTATGGCTTCTTCCACTTGCCTGGTTCCAAGATCTGGCTAGCACAGCACTTATACCGGTAGTTTGCCCCAAATTAACTTGCCCTGTGCACATACGTCTGCTTCAGTCTTTCGTCCAGTGCCAACTTTGCCTTTAGGAATCTTAACCTTCCTTCAAGGCTCAGTATAACCTCCACTTTTTCAATGAAGCCTTTGCCGACCGGTCCAGACTCGCTGCTCCACCGCAGAGAGCTCCAGCTCCCCTCTTCGTTTTTCTCCTCTGCATGTCATCTAGCACTGTGCTGTCTACTGCACTGCACTGGTCACTGAGGACCTCATGTGTCCCACCCTTGTTTTCCTATCTAGTCTATTCACTTCTAGAAACCAAGAACTCCAAATTCTAATTACCCTAAATCTCCTATGGTCACTAACATCATGCTAAGTTCTCAGTCAATCTAATCTATTGATCAAAATGAATAGGTCTCAATTACTATCTTCAGTCTGACTCCTGGAGTCACACTTTCCAGTTAGTTATCATTTATTCTAGTTAGTTACTATTATCAATCTAGTTATTTATTTTTTATGATGGGAACATGATGGCCCACTTCCCTGTTTTCTCTTTGCCATTCTTCTGCCTGCATTAACTCCTTGTACACCGTCCACCAATCTGACTTCGGCAACTAGCAAGCCACACAGAACTGAGCTTGGGGAGTGTATCTTCAAATTTATAGCCAACATCCAGGAAGATTTTCTCCTTAGTTCTCTTCTCTGAAATAATCTTATCATCGCCAACTAGCGAGAAACCATGAATGGCCATTTCATTCGTCCCCATGTCTGCAAGGAAAACAACTCCTAAACTCATTGTTCAGATTAGAGTTGGGTTATAGGCAAAGAACCTGCAGCAGACATAATGTGGATTAGAGAACATTGCACCAGCCAAAGACAAATAAGGAGTCCAGCATGAGCGTCAATGTTAAAGTCTTTGGAAACTGAAAAAGCCTGTTCAGACGAAGGCCATTATCACAGAGAGGCACAGCCCATGCACCCCATCCATGGCTGGGGCATGGGGCCTCACAGGTTTGTTCATGGCGCTGCCCAAATGAAAGCAAAAATAGAAAAGAATGGATTGTATGACGATGCTTTAGTGAAAATATCCGTGTTTCGTGTTTTAACAATGTCATCTATTGAATGATTTGACAGTGTATGATTTCTTAACATTCCGAAACTAAAGTGATACTCTTACAATTTTCAGCTTCGGAAGTCTGTTTTCAGCATCAGAGCAAGGAACCTTCTGGAAAAGGAGACTGCAGTCACTAAAATCTTAAGGTAACACCAATTAATATTGATACATATTTAAACACAAGTGGGGTTATATTAATCAAAAAGCAGCTTTTTTAAAAAATGAATTAATGTTCTGGGCATCACATCAGCATATACTTTCTGCCAGAAAGTAGCTTTGAGTTTCTATATACTTATAAATAACATCAAAGACATTATTGTTATTTCTAAAAATAAAAAATATTTTATTAGCTCAGTAGGCCTTTTTTCAAGTATTTAAACATAAAGGATAAGTATAAACATTTACCAAAAGGTGAAAATAACTTACTGTTATTTTTAACAGTTTTATATCTTTTGTGATATCTAAAGGAGAAATCACAATCTAAAGGATAAACGGTAAAAGAGAAAACTTTTTCATTATAATTCATTAATCTATTAAGAACACATTTATTAAAAATCTGGAAAAGATAAAAAGTATACCAATCTTCTTAGAATGCCTTATGAACATATACTTTTAAGGCTACTTTCTAGAAGATGTCCTGAAGTGAAGCATCAATAAGGAAAATTAAGCAACCTGCTGAAGTATTTTATAAGACTATGTTATATTATACAGTAACATGATGAGTATAAAAACACATAAGCATTTGGAATAGTATTTATTGATACATACATTATATAAACATATGTAAATGACACAACTCAAGATTGGGAGCTAGAGGTAGGATCGCTCATAAGGCTAGTGGACAGATTCATGCCAGGAAGACCCCTGCAAACCTGTGGTGAGTGGTAAGAAGTTCTAGCTCCCTTCTACTAGATTCATTATTAGGAACAGACGTTAAAGCATTCTCTCCAGAATGCATATTACTATAACTCGGAAGACAGTATGAGGAAATAAAGCTTAGTATGTATGATCTTTAAAACTATTATTACTTTATAATACTACCTAAAATTTGTATATAAAAAACATTCCTAACTAATCAGGACAGTATTTCTCGCTACATTGGCTGACATTCATGCATAGAGTTTAGTATGTGTTGGAATAGCTGTTATGTGATGAAAATAATTATTTCTGGGGCTTGCATATTATCACCACAGACAAGGTCTCATTGAAATAGACAACCTGTGTTCCAACTCAGGCTTGCTCCCGACTGACTGGTAACTCCATCCTGGTTACCATCAGATCACGCAGTGAGGCTGGCCTTGAACCACACATGTTACATCAGGATCATGATTCCAGCTGCACCTACACCAGACAAGTTCATGGTAGGGTCCTACAGCAATGCTGATCCACTCACTAAAAAGAGAAAATCACCCTCAAACCAGAAACTACCCACAAGGACATCGTAACTCTCAGAGTCTGCAATGAGAATCTGCCTTTCAAGTCAGGAACTACAGGGACCTTACTCACCTGTCCAGCACCCCTGCCTTGCAGTGAGTGTGAATGGGCCGTCTGGATGAATGGGCTCCCAGAGTCTTTCCTAGGCAGAAACAGAATCTTGCAAAGAAGAGATATCCAGGCCTCACTTCCCTAGGAACTCTTTCCTAAAACTGATCTGTCACTTTACCTTTTTCACCCTCCTATCCTTATTTACCCCTCTCTCAGTTTACAAAAGAAAGGTAAAATTCTCACTCATCCAGAAACTATGCTATGTATTAATCTGGATGTAAAATCCTCTGGGTTGCCGAGTAAAAGGACCGTTCCCACCTGGCTTTCTCCAAATGGAGGGTCCCATGGGGCCATGCCTCATTATTTATCCAGGTGACAATTTTATGGATAACTTCCTTCCCAAAACTATCCACCTTAGAGCTGGGCCTTAGAAATAACATGATTGTCACAAGGGCGTGTGGTTACATGTTATTTGAATTGAAAAATAAAGCCAGACTTTTTCTGACAGATTCAGCTAATTGGTTCGACAATGAAAACTGATTTTAAAAGTACACAATGTCATAAAATTGAATAGATTGGATGGCTAAGAATCTCCAACTTTTTTCTCAAAATTATTTTCAAGCACAAACACAATAATGCTAGAAATTACATTCTTCTATTTAACATGGAACCAGAGGAATTTAGTTGCTGATTTTCAAATCTACAGAAGTGTTTTTTTTTTTGTTTTTTTAATTACATAATGTACATAAGCAATATTTTTAACACTATCGGGGAATATAGACCCCTCAAACTTGCCCAACAATGGTGTAGTTAGGGGATACCCAGAGCCAATAGTATTTTACGACAGCCCAGCATAAAGCAAAATGAGAGGCAGTGCTTTAGAACTGCCGGAACTATGTTACCTTGTGAATCTCAGGAAATAAAAAGGCATAATTTGAAGAAAAAAAAAAGAATTTTTTAAATACAAATTTGATCTTATAAAGCCATTTCGCTTTTTCTTCTGTGGGAATGGTTTCTTCATTGTTTCTACACTAGTCTCTGCATGAATTAAGGGCAAATGCAAAATCTCAAACTGATGCTTTAGAAATACTTATCATTTCACCACTAATCATAGTAGTAACAGTGGCAGTGATACTATACCTGCATTATAAAATGATCCATTAGTTAAAAAGTCAAGGAGAGATTGGATCTGTGTCTATGGGTGTTTGTGGGCATCTTTATGCTGTTTTTGTAGGAACAATAGCAGCTAAAAGGAAAATGAAGAGGGAGAGTCGTGATTTTTTTAAAAAAAGGAAAATATTTGCAGTAACCTCAGGACAATTGATTCGAATAACCTTCCACAACATAGGGAAGGAGAAAAAGCTCTCCACACTCTTTCACTGTCTTCTTACTGCCTCTAGAGACTCTGCTCTCCCAGGCTCCAACCTTGCTGCCTGTGGATTAAACTCTGCAAGGATTCCTGGGTAACTTAGCAGTAGGGTCTCCCAGGACCATTTGCATTTTGAAAGAGGGCTTTTACAAAATGAAAGGGCTTTAAGACAAAGGGGATGCAGATTCCATCTTTTAATAGATGGGTCTACCTAGATACAAATAAGCCTGACAGAGACTGCCGCTTTAGTGTTCTATCACTTTTTAACTTTCTAGGTTTGTTATTTTCGTAGAATTATTGTCTTTAGTCTCATCCAAGAGGTTCCTCGCCAGGGAGGTAAGTAAGAGAAGTATACGGAGGCTTGAAAAAAAGACCTGAGTTGGATCATTTTGGCAAACATCACAGGTTGGCATTCGTCCTAATTTGTGTGCAGATAGAGATAAATCACATAAACTTTAAATCCAGAGTACTAAAAGAAGGGGAAACTTTTATGAAATATTAGTATCTTAGGATAACTTTTCAAAAAATGACAAATATTTGGGAAAAAATTAAACAAAGCAACTCCCTGACTTAAGGTTTCTGGAGGCCTGGCTGGGTAAATGGGCAATTAATTTAAATTCTCAGCTCTCGTGTCTACTCCATGGGAGTGGGAAGGAGGCGATCTTCAGGTCCCCCCCAGTTCTCCTGGGGGATACTAGGCTTGGTGTTCAATCCCCCCTGGCTGGCATCAGGCTCTGCTTCTCTGTAGCCTTGAACAACTCACACATCTGACCCTCAGTTTTCTCGTCTACCTTAAAAAGGTTGTCTGAATAATCCATTGACCAAACAGTGAAATTTAACGCTTATTCCAGTAAGGGAAGCTGCCTCGTTGTCTTCACAGTATCTCAGAAGGGATAGGTCAGAGGTGGCTATTTGTAGGGTTTTGGGTTTGAGTTTCAGCATCCATAGGATGGAGGTCTGTTTGAGATTAGGCAGAATTCCTGATACGAGTTGACTATTGAAGATGTTGATACGGACAAGTCATAGTACTGTTCTGAAGACGGCAGTGCTGTAGTTGAGGACCAGGTAGGGAAAGTGACCTGCCTGGTACCTCTCCACTGCTTTCCATGTTCTTTCCCCGACTTTGGCTCAACATTTGAGTTATCCGTTCTTTACAGGGGGTTTGCCCTTCTGATTTCATTCTCCTTCTTGACTTGGGTGATCTAAGAAGAAGAAAAATAAATGGTCACCTTCTGCTATCCTCTTCACATACGAAATTTATTTTTCCTTTTGTGCCTTTTAGGTTTTTAACCAGACACGTGTATTACCTTTAACAAACAAATACTACTGATTTTTATACGTCCTATTTTTTTCAAGTTTGGGATTGATGGACCCCATTGGGTAGATTCTTGACAAAAATCCTAATGAATACCAATTATTTGTAGGTGTCTAGCTTGACCAGTTGAGCGACCTAGTGTCTGGAGAAGGGGGTTGACCCGGCAGTCTGTAGTTCAGATAAATGAATTTGGGTGAAGTGCCTGAAGCCAACAGTGAGGTTGCTGACTGGTTAACAGCTTTACCTTCCTGGACAAGTCAAGTCATATTGACACAGAGCCCTCAGCTCTCAGGCCTGGAAATTAAGCTGGAAAGCTGCCAGGGGTCTTAGTTCTCAGGGGACCCACATTTCCAAATATCCATCTTCCATTTGAAACAGGATCCACATTATTCTAACAGAAAGTATGTTATATACATTACTATGAGCAGGAAATTCCAGCCCACAGAGGAAGAAGTCTTTCAGGGAGGAAGGGCCCTAGTGCCTGAGGTATGTGACTCACAGGTAGAATCACCCATTTCTACATATAATCATCTTTAATTCATGTTCTTGTATCTTTTTGAATTAATTGATGTTTTGAGAAATAGAAATGAATTTTTGGATATATTTGAGAACCCTTTGATGAGAAAAAAAAAAAAGTAGTCTATTTTTACAGAACTTGAGAATACTGGCCCATGCTAAAATGCAGATGATTGGCTTGGCACAAACAGGCATCTGTGTTGTTGTTTTTTAAGACTCATATGAAGAGGATTGAGAGAGAGAATGTTCCACTACCTGAATTATAAAATCCGAGATTGCTATTAAATTTGTTGTTGTTCTGACTTAGACTATATCGTTCAGCTCTACTAAAGAAAGCTTCTTTTCAAAAGGCAGTGACCTTTTCTCCGCATCAGGCAAAATCAGAAATAAATAGCAATGTGCTTTCAAAAGCGTCCCTACCTTTGTTGAGATTTCCTCTAATTCAAAGCCCTGAAATTGAGCAAAATGCATTATCATTCCTGCGAGGCTGAATGAATAGAGAAATGTCAAAATAAAACAATTAAACATTTTACATTATTTTTGAAATTTCCATCCTTTTATGGTTTGCCATGAGTACCTCCTTAACAGGGAAAATATCTTTATAACCTTTCAAATGCTCAGTCTCATATGATGTTTACATTCTGACATTTGGTTTTATAACATAGCTTTCTTTGCCATGCGCTTGTATTAATAATTTTTAAGCCTTAAGGAATAGTCTTTAGTTTAATGCTACTTACTACAGAAAAAACTTAAACAGGTTTAACAAAATACGTAGATTAGTTTTTGTCTTATTCATCATTTTAAAAGAATCATGTAATGACTGTACATACAACTTATATGCTACTTACATATGTATAAAATCACTATGTATTTATTAATCTGCAATTTCTTAAATGACATTAGCTGGATTTTTTCCCTGACAGAAGGTGCCCCTAAGAATTCATGCATTCATTCAAGAAATATCTCTGGAGTGTGTTTCACATGCTAGGCATTTCACACCGTTTGCTTTTTCCCATTTGGAAAGTTCTCCTTTCAGAATTATTGTTCCATAGGTCAGCCCAGCTATTCAGCAGCCTTGGATAAGGTCATGTTATTTCTCTGCAGCTCTGCATTCTGGGCTGAACTAGCAAGACACCCTCGACACTGCTGCGAGGAACTGAGTGTGTTCCAGTGTCCCCTGGACCTTTGAGCTGCACTCCTCAGTGGAAAGGGAGGGTAGTGGACTGACCCTACAGATGAGAGAAACGCAGAGACCCCTGCAGCCTAGGGTCTGTGCCAGCTCCCTGAGATAGCAGCAGGCTTTTTTTATCAGCCTTTGGTATGAATAATCCCAAGTTTTAAGAAAATAGAGTATTGAGAATTACTGTCATAAATATTTGTCTTTGCAATTCTATTAAGGCTGCCTGGTTATTACTGGCTTTTTCTTAAGATTTTCCAGACCCTTAAAAACTCTGTTAGGGTAGTTGAAGGACTATTTGCAAATAAACTAGGCAGACAGATGAAAATTAAGTGTGTTCAGAGAACCATAAACTAAGGAGACAAGATATGTGTCTTTATGGTTTTGCATAAAACATAAAATAGTAAAGATCTAAAAGTGGCAAAATATAACTAACTTAAACAAAAATAATATATTCTAATCACATTTTTAGATGGTATCTGATTTGTGGTAATCAAAATATATTATATTTTATTGAGATAACATGTGATTTATAGATTGTTTTTAGATAAACCCAAAAGTGAATATAATAGTGTTATGGATTAGAAGGGCTACTGAGTTTTTTGAGGTGGAGTTTCGCTCTTGTCACTCAGGCTGGAGTGCAGTGGCAAGATCTTGGCTCACTGCAACCTCTGCCTCCCAGGTTCAAGCAATTCTCCTGCCTCCCAACCTCGGCTAATTTTGTATTTTTAGTAGTGACGGGGTTTCTCCATGTTGGTCAGGCTGGTCTCAAACTCCCGACCTCAGGTGATCCACTCACCTCAGCCTTTCAAAGTGCTGGGATTACAGCCATGAGCCACCGTGCCCAACCTGGGAGGTTTTGGCTTTTTTTAAATAAACTTTATTTTTTGAGCTGTTTTAGGTTCACAGCAAAATGGAGCAAAGGTACAAAGATTTCCCATGTGCCGTCTGCCCACACACAGGCACAGCCTCCCCAACCATTAACATCCCCACCAGAGCGGCACATTTGTTACAAGTGATGAACCTACACGGACACATCACTATCGCCCAAAGTCTGTAGTTTACACTAGGGTTCACTCCTAGTATAGAATATTCTGTGGGTTTGGACACATATGTGATGACGTGTGTCTACCATTACAATACCATACAGCGGAATTTCAGTGCTCTAAAAATCCTCTGTGCTCCACCTGTTCATCCCTCGCTCACCACAAACCCTGGCAACCAATGATCTTTTTACTGTTTCTACAGACATAGAAAGGCACATAGAAATGCATAGATATGTGTCTCCATAGACGTGCATTGATGTTTATGGCAGCTTTATTGATAATTGCCAAAACTTGGAAGCAGCCAAGGTGTCCTTCAGTAGGAGAATGGATAATCAAACTGTGGTCCATCCAGAAAGTGGAATAATTATTTAGCATGGAAAAGAAATGAGCTATCATCATGAAAAGACATGGTATAAACATAAACGCATGTTACTAAGTAAAAGAAGCCAGCCTGGAAAGTCCACATACTGTATGATTCCAGCTATATGACTTTCTGTGAGAGACAAAACCATAGAGATGGGAAGATATTTTAACAAGGTCTTTCTTTTGTTATTTTGTCACTGGAGTGTAAAGTCGTATAAAAAATAGAATACCTATCTCTTGAAAATTGGCCAGTACCGTTTCTGCCAATATTTACAAAATTTCACTTTTATTGTAGTAAATAGTTTAGCCTTTCCATTGTAATTTGCACGTTTCTGAGTCAGTAGTTGGGTCACTAAATTTGGAATGATGCGGGGTTGCAGACATTTTTTATGCTGAAATTTAATAGACACACTAAAGGCATGGATTTCTCATGAGTTAATTTTTCTTTTTTGTGTATAGTGTGGGTATAAGTTCCTAAGATAAAGATATTCAAGGTTTATTTTATTTTCTGCCTACAATGAAGTTCTGGTCGCCCATGTACTCACATTTCTATGAAAACATTTTTATGAATAACACAAGATTGGGAAGAACTAAGTCATGGTTGCTGTGAAAGAGCCAGATCCATTTACTTGGGACAGGGCTGATTCACAAAGGAGTGGGTATCCACTAGGATAAAAATGCAGCTGTTTCCTCATCTCAGCAAGAGGCCATTACCGAGGAGCTCACCCATTAGCATCCGCTGTTGTCTCTACTTGGGAAGATCACATTGTCACTCTAGTGGAGTCAGGTAAGAGCCATTTCCAGGAAATACTCATTATCTATTCTCTTAGTTATACTGTCATAATTTTACATGATTACCACTGAAAGACTATTTTCCTGTTGTCTGCTAATGTGATTACATTACATTAACCAACCTCGGATAATACTTTAAAATGTATTACTTGTGGAGTTCGAGATTTGAGCAAAATCCCTCAAATGTAATGCTCTGCAAAGTTATACTGCAGTTCCTTTAGATGGGAATTACATTTAATACCGATGGTATGTGTAATCTAACTTTTCTATAATGAGTGAAAATAATTTGAAGACTCATAGGCCTCTCCCTTTCATTACAGAATGTGTAGGCTTTTCCCCCACCCCTGTTCTGGGACATTAAGAAAGAAGACATGGAGACAAAGAAGAAAAGAAGCGGGGACCCCCTGCTACTGTGTCTATAAACAACTAGTGGTGTTTAAAGGCTAATAAAGCTCCAAAGATCTCTCTTATAACCATAATCTTTGGGCCAATTTTAAAATATTTTAGATGGAGAAATGTCAAGAAAAATAGAGACAATTTCAAGACATGATTCTCTTTTCCCAACCTCCATAAAAGATATATATATATATGGCTGTCATATAAGGAGCAATTGAAATTCCACAGCACAAAGGCAATGCAGGGGGAGAAAAAGGCTCAATCTTTCATATATTTTTTTTTCTCAAAGGCTTGGCAAGAAACCAGGGGTAATATTTTTGCAACTGGGAATGTGTGTTTGCTGAAGAATATTCCCACATTTGAATCATCCTCAGGGGTCCTCATCTTGTTTTACTTTCAAAGGTAGAGAGGGCATAACATTAACCCCAACTGGGAAAAGGAAAATGCCTCACTGTAATTCTCCTCCAGGGAACAGGAATAAAGGGATTACATATGCCTGCATAATGCAGAATTTCCTCACTCAGACAAGACAAAAGACTTCATTATTTTTCACCAGACACTTGAAGTCTTGTGCCTCCCAGTTGCAGAAGACAAGGAGGCAGGACAATTTTTTATATCAAGCCACTAGATGGAGTTCCTAAGAAACTGGCCTTCCCATACTTGGCATTATGAAGAGATCTAGGGGAGATGTTAAAAACCTTGATACCTGACACTACCCAGTCTTTCCCCTAAGAAACGTGAGACTGTCCCTGAAGATCACAGTGTTTTTCCAGTATCAGCTTTGCTTTTACTCTGGGCAGCAAATAAATGAACATTTTCTTCCTGAAGACGTACCTCGTTTGTCCTTACGTGAGACCAAAAGGCATCTCAATCCTAATGAAAAATTTAAAATGGCAAAATATAACACCATGGAATATTCAAGCACTTCTGCTTCTGGGTAGATCTATTACTTGGTAACGTTAAGGATGTGTGCATCTCATTTCTTATATAAAATAAATTTCAAATTCTGTAGTTATTCACTATTTGGGCTTGCAAGTATTAGATTCCTGTAAGAGGAGGTATACGGAAGCCACGTTTCCAGTGGCAGATCAGATCTCCAGTTAAAGAAATGGAAATGAATTCACCTGCGACAGCCTGCTCTGCTCCACACTGGCTTTCAGGCTTTCCTAACATCTTTCATATACAACATAGAGAAAGACTTGTGAATTTTTTAGTTGCAAGAATCAGTGTCTTTTTTTTTTTCATTACTGTCTCTTCTAGTATAGGTATGCAGCTCATTATTCTTGAGTGGCATCATAATCTAACTTGAGATACAATTAAGATTGTTTAACTTGCCCCTTTAAAAAGCATATTTTAAACACGCTATTTTGTCCATGATTATTTTCATGCTTCAAAAGCGTGGATTGATCAAAAATTAAAGTATTTGATCTTCACAGAATTTCAAGGTTCATTCATTCCAAAAATATTTATTGAGCACATACTGTGGGCAAGAGCTGAGAAATAATCATGAACAATTTAAAAGACAACCCCTGCTCTCTTAGAGCTCTTTGGAGCATGGCATCTGTGAAGAAGTAAAAGACCACAGAGAATGGCATGGAAGGAATGAGGTTTCTCCTGGTAAAGATGAGGCCAGAAAGAAAGGTAGAGGGAAACCACACAGGGCTTTGTAAGCCACACTGCCCATTAGGCCTAGTCTTTTTATGACAGTGATAATAACTACATTCGTGATCTGTTGCTGCATAACAAATTACTCCAAAACTTGAGTGATTTAAACAACACATTTTTAATCTCACAATTTTAGTCAGGGATCTGGGCATCACTTAAACATCTGTCTCTCCAAGTTGTGTGCATTTGGACTTGAGTGGGAAAAATACCACTCAATCCTCATGAGCTGTGATAGGAAGGCCTCAGTTCCAAGCGGTTTGCTGGATTCCTCCCCAAGTGGAACTCTCCACAGAGCACCTGACAACATGCCGCTTGCTTCATGGTCAAGCAAGCAAGAGCAAGTCAGCATGAGAGAGGGAGAGAGACAGAGCACTAGGAAGACAGAAGTTACAGTGTTCTGTAATCTCTCCCATTCTTCTGCTTCTTAGAAGGAAGTCACTAAGTGCCACCCACATTCAAGGGGAGGGAAGTACCCAAAGGCATGAAACCCAGAGGGCAGAGATCATCAGGGTAATCTCAGAAACCTGCCTACCACAATACCATATGGACGTTCATTCAAGAGAACATTTGGTTTGGGATGATAATGCAGTATGTTTATTGAGAGTGGAGGCATGGAGACCAGTTCAGAGGCTGCAGCATGAGTCCATAGTGGACGTCACTATCGGTCAGAACAGAAAAGACTTGGCTCCCACTATCCTCTGCCAAACTTGCTGCTCAGTCCGCAGTGCTACGTAGTGTTTTAACATCTGCCATGACACGAGACAAGATACAACAGGAAATAATAGCAACTAAAATTCTAAGAAAGTGTCGATGTTTCCAAAGCACTGTCACATTCATAATCATCTTCTTCCAACTCCCTCTGAAGTCAGAAGGAAAGGCTTTATTGTTCTCTACGTTTTGCATATGAGAAATGGAGGCTCAGAGAAAGCACATCACCTATCTAAATCCCACAACTTATAAAAACTGAAGTGTGTGCTTCTCAAGCTTGTGTTTTCTCAACTCATCTAATCCATTAGACTTCCAGACAAAGGCAGAACTTTCCATCAGCAGCTGCACTTCGGGGGCCACACAATCCCCATGCCCCCGCTGCTGCCCTCCCTACTCACCCTCCCCACCTTTTCAATTACTCATTCTGTTCATCAAGCAGCCTGAGGGCCAGGAATCAAACTTCCCAGGAATGGGAGGCTGAGTGATAAAGCGGTCCCTAATCTACTCACAGCCTAGTAACGGTAATAACTAATGATAACAACACGCCGTAAGCATTAAACAAGCTCAGTTAATAACATACTGTAGGAACATGGAGTATATAACAAGTCATTTTTTTGTGCTTTCATATAGGTGAAATATTCATTTCTCATTTCATGTTACTTTTCAGAACCCATTTATATCAGTCTGTCATTATATTGTGCATGTTAAAACACTATTTGGTATTTCATGGTTTGCCTCACTGTATATGCTTATACATGGTAGCATTGTATTTTCTTTCAAAAATAATAAAGCGAACTTTCACCATGCTTTTGTATGAATCTGGGCACACTGGTCTTGGGTATATGTAACCTCTTAGCAGATCTGATTGTGTCCAACTGACATCTAGAGCTTTCTGCCAACACTGTTATTTTCCAAAATAGCAAAATGTCTTACATGGCCGAGGAATGTGACAATGGCTTAGGTACCACAAGCCTGTTTCATTATGAGAAACATCCTATTGTGGGAATATTTCTATACCTGTTTCAGCATCCAGGTGAGCTCCAGGCCAAAGGATTATAAAACCTCCTTCCCATTCCCTTGCTCCTGTGTCCACCATCCAATCTCAGGTTTATAACTTCCATCTGTGGTTCTTCCCTAATGCACCAGGGCCCTGTGTGGCCAGTGGTCTCCTTGTATAATGGGATTAGATTTTTCAGAATGTTCTCTTTAGATGTATTTATATATCTGTACAAAAGTTGTTTCATGCTGTTTAGTAAGTGAAAAATAGTGATTATTTGGGGTTTGTTTCCAAGAATACATTTACATTCAGTGAATTTGTATGATTTTTTCATAGATATTCACCATAGTTATCTTCATCCACATTAAAATTATTTTTAAGTACTTAAATATGACATATTTAATAAGTTCTTATATATTATTATAAACTAAGTTCTTATGTGATATTATGTAAGTTCTTAATAATATAAATATGTTATCTTTAAGTACTTTAAAATGCCTCTATTATACAGGTATCATAAGAGCTATTTTAAGTATGCTAAGCTCACACATATCCTTTTCTCAAAGATCTTAACTCTGAGACAGACAGTAATAATATTCAAAGCCATTCAAGAAATGCATTGTAAGAAACATGAATATGAAAATATTATGTAAAAATGGCAGGATTATATGTTCAGGTGTTGAGCAAATAAAGTATCATTCAATTTGCATATCATAAAATCGTTGATTTTTCAACCTATGAACTATCTTTCAGAGCAAGTCTTTCTCTTCATTTTACCAATAAGGGAGGTGGGCCCAAAGATCACCCAACTAGTTCCTCACAGTGTAACTTCTGGCACACAGGTCTTTTAATGCCTTGTGTGATTTTCTTGCCACTAACCAACTATCTCAAAGGAATTCCTGTCATTCCCAGTTGGAGAAAATTTTCTGGAGAAGATTTTTTTTTTTCTCTGACCAAAATTGTTCACACCACAGGTGTTAGGCCACCCAATTGCTTTCACTCGTTAGCAAATCTGAAATTAACACAAGCCCAGTTATGGTGTAAAGAGAACATGTTTGTAAAAGTCTTCATGGTTTAGCGAATACGAAGCAAGTGGTAACTGGTTACCAGTAAGCTGCAAGCTCCTGATTGAGGTTGCTATAGGTAACAATTCCAAAAACTGTGTGCTTTTTTTAAAATTGTGGTTTTAAAAACAACACATAACATTTGCCATCTAAACAATTTCTAAGTGTACAGTTCAGTCGTGTTATGTTTACATTGTTGTGCATAATTCCAGCTGTAGTTACTTCTCTTTATGACTCATTTTTGCTTCTAAACTTTGTGTTTTCCTGTTTTTCTAAAGTTCTGCAAAATCTCCTTGGAACATATATTTCATCATTCCAGGAGGCTGAGTGGACAAATCCTTCCCAAAGGGGGTTTATTAGAAACCGACATCATGATTGGTTGTGTGTATTAGTCTGTTTTCATGTTTAAAGACATACCTGAGACTGGGCAATTTACAAAAGAAATAGGTTTAATGACCTTAGAGTTCCATGTTGCAGGGAAGGCCTCACAATCATGGTGGAAGGTGAAAGCCATGTCTCAAGTGCCTGCAGACAAAAGAAGAGAGTTTGTACAGGGAAACTCCTCTTTTTAAAACAATCAGATCTCAGGAAACTTATTCACAGTCACAAGAACAGCACGAGAAAGACCTGCCCCCATGATTCAGTTACCTCCCACAAGGTCCCTCCCACAATACATGGGAATTCAAGATGAGATTTGGGTGGGGACACAGCCAAACCATATCACTGTTGGTAGGCTGGCCTTCCTGCTTATGGTGTCCTGATAGAAGCTCTACCATTATTTTTGGAGAGGAGGGAGGAGGCAGAAGGAAGAGAGGCCACAGACAAGCTTTCTGTTTATTTTCCAGCCCCTCTTTCATAGCTGTGATAATTCTGCTTTGTAAGTGTTCTTGACACAGAGCATGAAGTTCATTTTCCTTTATAATTATACATTATTTGCTGTATTTTGTCTTTTCATTGGTGTTACCTTTAAAATAATAAAAGTAATGAGCACTTATGCATTATTCATCCCAAGTGTACAAACCACGCATTTATCTCGGGCTCCTTTTCTTTTTTTCTAGAGCATGCACCCGACAGCGCATGCTGAGCGGATCATTCGAGGGGCAGCCGGCAAAGGAGAGGTCAATCCTCAGCGTGCAGCATCACATCCGCCAAGAGCGCAGGTAAATACTCAGGAAAACAGGGCTTCAGAGACGCTAAGGAAAGGGATTTGATAGGAAATGGTCAGTGTACACAGCCACGACTCTCGGCCCTGCCTGCTGGACAGGCATGGCTGAGGAACCGAGTTCTGTTTGCTGTTTGTTACAATAATGAAACACCTAATCAGATCCAAAGATTCAAAAAATCTCTACTTCACCATCCTTTTCCTTAGAGATGGCCAAATTCTCACTTTTAACATCAGAAGGAAAAATTCTGAATTTTGTTAGATGGGATCAAAAACATATGGGGAGACTGGAAGCTTCTGCTATGAAAAGAAATCATAGGCATTTGTGGTGTTGTAGCAGAAAAAAGTGTTTTTGTTTTGATTTTATCATGGTCACGGCTTGAAAGGCCAGTTTGATCTTGAGATGTATTAACCAGTGACTGTGGTTGTTTTAGGTCACTAAGACATGGATCAAATAGCCAAAGGATCAGCAGGGGGAAATCTCTTGAAACTTTGACTCAAGATGTAAGTTTTAAGCAGAGCTTTGGATTTCAGAAACCTGATTATGAAAATGTATTTAAATGACTACTTAGACAATGTCAGTGCCTGGGTCTTTCTGCTGCATTCTCATGTCTCCTTAAAACTTCAGACCAGAGGGAATCGGGAAACTCAAGATATGAATTATGGAGCCAAGCACCAGAAGTAACTGTTAACAGCAGAAAACTCCGGTCATCCCACACAAAGCACATGTCTTAGTTAAAATCGTAACACAAAAGTGTCATATCAGTTGTATTTGACTTGAAATTAAAGACACTTTAAGCATTTTATGTAGGACTGATTTGCATCATTGACTTTGAATATTTACTAAGTATCAAATATTCTAGAATCTAGATCGAAGGTCTGTAATTTCAGGGCTTTACAAATTAGGATGTGAAATTTTATTTCTAGAAGAATTTTTCTGTCAAAGACTACCTAGTATTTTCCAACAAAGTTTTTTGCTTTTAGATTCTAGGTCATTTATGCATTTATTTCCTGGCTCTATAGTTAACAAGTGTTTGTTATGTGCTAGGTCCTCTTCTAAGGAATGAGGAGCAGTGGGGAAATAAGACAGACTCCATGCCCTCCTGGAGCTTACATTTTAGAATAGGAGACAGATAATAAGTTGGTAAAAATGTAATGGAATTTCTGGAGTGATTTCTTTTTATTTTCCACCATCTCTCCATTACTGTGACAAATTCTCTTTGTAATGTAAAGTAAAATGAAGTCGTGTAAATAAATCAAAGGTGGGGATTTGGGGGCAGGGATTTTTAGATAGAATGGTTATTGTAGACCCCTCCACATTATCCCAGAGACCCAAATGAAATGCAGGAGCCATGAAAAAATGCAGAGAAGCCAAGCATTAGATGGCCCAGCAGCTATACCATGCAAAGATTACAGTCAAAGAGTTGGGAAATGCATATTAAATAACTATCATTATGAAGCTCTGATTAAAAGACAGGTCTTTGGTTGAATCTGGATAAACTGGCTAAAAAAGCAGTCTTGAATGTTCAGAGCCAAGGATGGCACTTGAGAAAGGAGAACTAGCAAGAGAAAGTTAGCAAAGCCTTAGGGTTATTTTGTTTTTGTCTTTTTCACCACTTACCTCTTAGTTCTTGAGTTTTTGGATGGCGTAGCCTACTACATCTGCTTTCATTCTGTAGAAACTGCTGTTTTAGTCCAAGTAGATGATTTTTATTGAGTGTTCCAGGCAAAATCAAGAGCTAGAGGTAGTTGATGTGAATACCTGCCATCACCGATACCCTGTAGACATGGTTCTCATTGGCACAGAGATCTTTTACGGCCATGATTTTTAATATCCAGAGCCCTATCTGATTGGCTACCATATTGTTGACATGGAATTGCCATCAAATCCAACACGTGACCTGTGCACTTAGAATTGCAGAGTCAGACATATTGCATGCAGAACAATTTCAAGTGAAAATGCAAAGAGGCAACCCTCCTTCAAAGTGCCTTCCTTCAATATGTCACCATAGAAATGTACAACCTGCTTAAGAATGAAATCAGAATGTGTCTTTGAAAATATGTGTTTAATTATAGGCCATGTTTGAATAGTCTTTTTTTTTTTCTTTTTTTTTTTTTTTACTGATTTTTTTTTTGAGATGGAGCTTCGCTCTTGTTACCCAGGCTGGAGTGCAGTGGCGCGATCTCGGCTCACCGCAACCTCCGCCTCCTGGGTTCAGGCAATTCTCCTGCCTCAGCCTCCTGAGTAGCTGGGATTACAGGCACACGCCACCATGCCCAGCTGATTTTTTGTATTTTTACTAGAGACGGGGTTTCACCATGTTGACCAGGATGGTCTCGATCTCTTGACCTCGTGATCCACCCGCCTCGGCCTCCCAAAGTGCTGGGATTACAGGCTTGAGCCACCGCGCCCGGCCCCTGTTTGAATAGTCTTAATGCCGGAGGCTTACGTCTTCTTCAGAGACTTCCTACCACATTTCTCACATAGAAGTATAGCAAAATCCATCTCCCACCCTCTCTAAAGCAAAATGCCATGGGGTTCTGATTGTTTCCAATAAATTCTTATAATGTCTTTTCTTCCACAAAGGAGACATTTAGATTGGAGAATTTTAACTTTTTCGCTTATTCTGGATGATAGGAGATACAGATAATTAAGTCTAAGGAGTGCTTTCTTTAAAATCTACTGTTATTGGAACTCTGGCCCTGCACGTTCCGTGGGGTCCATCTGAGGGCTGGCAAGGCCCTGCATGGCCCGCTCACCGCTCTTAGATTTGCCCGCATTGGCCTCCTGGATATTGCACGTGTAGACATGCCAGGCCTGCTCCCAGCTCTGGAAGAACATGTCTGCAGCCCCACCACAGCCTGCACCCTCACGCCCTTCCAGTCTTCCTCAAATACTACCTTCATATTGAGGTCTACCTCGACCTGTTCATTTAAAATCATAACCTTCTAGCATTTTCTATACCTCTGATCCACTGTGATATTTTTTAAACCAGATCACTAAGCATCCTCTAAACATATTTACTTATTTTGAATTTTTTTTCTGTCTCCCACTGACTAGAACATCAGTCGTATGAGAACAGGGCTATTTTGTTTCCACTTCCCATATCCTACACACTAGAACAGTGCCTGGCACATAATAAGATTTCAGGCAATATGTGCTGAATGAATTACTTTTTAGAGGAAAAAACACTCTTGCTAAGAGTGGCTATTATATATATGTGTGTGTGTATATATATATATATATATATATGTATATATATAAAAACTATACATATATAAAACATATATATATATATATATATAACTGTACTATATATATAACATGATATATGTAACTGTGGCTATTATATATATTTAATCTCATACATATTATATATACTGTAAATTTAGAAATTTAATGTAAATGTATACATTTCATATATACATATTTAATGTAAATATATATATTTAGTATAAATATACATACATATTATAAATATATACATTTCATATAAACATACATATTTATTGTAAATATATATTTATAAATATGTATATTTAATATAAATATATACATTTAGTGTAAATGTACATATTTATTGTAAATACATACATTTAGTATAAATATGCATATTTATTGTAAAATATACAGTTTAATATAAATATATGTAAGTACATATTTAACAGTCTATATATATAATTAATATTTATACTTTGTATAGAGAGATGTTGGTTTTAATTTTTTTAACTGATAATATATTTTGCATTCAGAGACCTCCTATTTTAGCATACCCCCTTTTAATTTATTTCTAGCATTCCAATACAGTGAGATACAGAAATGCACAAAGAGAAGACAGTGAAATAAAGATGATCCAGGAAAAAAAGGAGCAGGCCGAGATGAAAAGGTACAGGCTGCCACAGTGTCCCGTGGCTCTCATTTGGGAATGGCAAAATTTCCCTTAGCCTTATTCCCTCATGAATTTCTCCTTCCAGGAAAGTGCAAGAAGAGGAACTCAGAGAGAACCACCCATACTTTGATAAGCCCCTGTTCATAGTGGGGCGAGAACACAGGTTCAGAAACTTTTGCCGGGTGGTGGTCCGAGCACGCTTCAACGCGTGAGTACACTTCATTTCAGCCAGGTGTTTGGCCCGAGTCGTGCAAACAGCAGGGGTGTTGTCATATGAAGAAGAAAGAACTTGTAATCCTAATGGGGTCACAAAATAAACTGTGGACTAATTAATCATGCTGCTTCTCTTTGCTGAGCACCCGACCAGGTGGAAAACAAACAGAGGTCACAAGTAGTTAACATTTATAGAAAACGCACGTTGATGAAACACAAAGCAACCATTTTTGTTTGTGCATTGTAGCAGTTGCCTGATACGTTTATATCTGCATTCCATATTTTATTTTGGAAAGACTGAGACAAAAGGTAACTAAAGGATGTGGTGAAATGAAGGTCATTGTCCATGTCTTCCATCAGGCTTGTAGTTTCTTTGTGGTAAAAATACCTCAATTGGTTTATTGGAGAATAATGTAAAGTAGAAAGAAAGTTGATTAGTGCTTTCATTGCCAACTGTTATACGAAGGAAACTCACTGCCCACTGTCTCCACCTTCCACCATGGAAGAAGTATGTAAGAAGCCATCAGCACGGTGAACCTTGAAGACACACTATCTGTGGATACCTAAGGCAAGTTTAACAGGCAGATAATGGATGAAATGGATTTTTGTCAAGCATACCTCTATTAGTCCATTTTCACACTGCTGATAAAGACATCCCTGAGTCTGGGTAATTTGTAAAGAAAAAGAGATTTAATGGATTCACAGTTCCAAGTGGCTGGGTAGGCCTCACAATCATTGAGGAAGGCAAAAGGCACATCGTACATGGCACAGACAAGAGAGAATGAGACAGAAGTGAAGGCAGAAAGCCCTCATAAAACCACCAGATCTCATGAGACTTATTCACTACCACAAGAACAGCCTGGAGGAGACCACCCCCATGATTCAGTTATCTCCCGCTGGGTCCCTCCCACAACATGTGGGAATTCCGGGAGCTATAATTCAAGATGAGATTTGAATATGGACACAGAGCCAAACCATATCAGAACCTTTAAGTAAATATTCCAAAGACATTAAGAATCCTGGAGGAAATGAGAGAACGTTCCATATTCCCATTATGTAGTTGGACTGTCCCTGATGCCATCATTTAAGTAAATTGATTTCTTTGTTATTAATAAGTAGCATACGATAATCACTCTCTGTTATGGACTGAATTGCTCCCCCCAACATCCATATGACGGAATCTGAGCCCTCAGAACCTCAGAATGTGACCATATTTGGAAAAAGGAATTTTAAATAAGTTAATTAAATTAAAACGAGGCCATTAGGATGGGCCCTAATCCAATATGACTTGTTTCCTTATAAGGAGAGAACATTTGGACGCAGGCATATGCAGAGAGAAGACCATGCAAAGACACGTAGGGAGAAGATGGCTCTCCGCAGGTCAAAGAGAGAGAGCCCTGCAACGGGTTTTCCCCTCGCAGCCCTCGGAAGGAACCAACACACGCAGCTGGCACCTTGATCTTGGACTTCCAGCCTCCAGGACTATGAGAAAATAAACTTATGTTGCTTAAGCCACCCAGTCTTAAGCACCAGTGGTGCTTTTTTACAGCAGCTCAAGGAAACTAATACACACTATTTTAACATTTCAGGGATGGAAGAGACCTTGGGGACCACTCAGTGTTATTTGTGTGTCCCCTCCTTCAACAGAGGAGGATAATTAATTGTGCAGAAGTTGAGGGCTTTGCTCAGGGACCCAGCTAATAGTACCTGGCTCTCTCTTGATTGCCAGGCTATTCTTTCTGCTGTTCTATAAAGACTCACAATTTAAATCAACTGAGTCATAATTATTAACATCTTCCATGAGTTTTCAAAGTAAACTGGAAGAAAATGCCAGTGTAGAGATTGATTTGATCAGTCTCGAGTAGGTTTTTTTTATCTTGAATGATCCTGTTGGCTGCCTGCACCTTAACATGTCATGGCTAATTCTCCACTTCACTTGGAGTGGTGTAGTTTCCCTTTTATCAGCAACACAGCTGATGTTGAATACAATTGATGAAGTCTTTGTTGTAGTTGGGGACACATAGACAAAGAATGTAATCTCACTGACAGTGCTGACAGGCTTTACTTTCAGGAATGAAAGTAAAAACAATGAACCTTCCTCCCAAGAAATTCTCCGTAAATCATTCTACAATATCACAGTTAAATGCAGGGGGAGGAAGTCTATTTAAATTATGGAGTATTGAATTAACTACTTTTGAATAACATTCTTGAACTATTAAGGCAAAGATTTTAAATGAGTATTTTTAAATGAAACTCAAAATTTAATTTTGTACTACCCATGTCAGAAAATTCTGAATGAAGTCACAAAGTCAAAAATCAAGTATTTTGAGAAATCCAAAACTTTCCTTTCATAAGCATCAACTGCACATTCTTTGGATTTTTTCTTTCATCTAATGTTCTCTGACCTCCAGAGTCACCTACAGTAAACATATTTTATAATGGATATTTTATAGAGGATGTAAAAGAGATTTTTAGGTAGATGAGATGTTTGCAAATATGTTTTTAGCAAGTTAAAACATGCTTACTATGATGTAGAATTTTATAGATGTGTTCTCTTACAGATCTAAAACAGACCCTGTCACAGGAGCTGTGAAAAATACAAAGTACCATCAACTTTAGTAAGCATTACAAACCTCATTTTCCATGCACATTTGAAGTTTTCATGTACTATTTTATGTTGCATAAAAATATTAAAATTCTCTTGCTATACAATGTTATGAAATAGATGATTGGGGAATGATGTTTTTAAAATACCAGTCATGTTGACAGAGTCACAGAAGTCATCATCTCCGACTCTTGGAAGCTTTTCCTGGAACATTCACGTTTCTCAATTTTGTTTGGTCTCTGGCAGTGATTTGCTGGGATTGGTCACTTACCTGGATTGGGTCATGATCATCGTAACCATCTGCTCTTGCATTTCCATGATGTTTGAGTCCCCCTTCCGAAGAGTCATGCATGCGCCTACTTTGCAGGTACTGCTGCTAAATAAATCTCAGCTTACAACTGAGAGGTAAAATACTGACCTGCAATTTTTCCGTTTGTTGTAACCAAACTGCCTTTTTACCCATTTCAGATTGCTGAGTATGTGTTTGTGATATTCATGAGCATTGAGCTTAATCTGAAGATTATGGCAGATGGCTTATTTTTCACTCCAACTGCTGTCATCAGGGACTTTGGCGGAGTAATGGACATATTTATATATCTTGTAAGTCTTTGGTTATTTCCTAAATGAAAGTGTAATGGTTTTGTAAAATCTCCTGCATTTCTTGGTATAAGAGCAAGATGTATGAGTCACAGAGGTTTTGAAGCCCTAATGAATTCTTAAATGGACTCTAGAGTTGTTCATTATATGCAAATAAGGGCCATGCCTGTAAAATCTAAATTAAGAGCATCATAAAGATCTATGGATAGTTATGTTGTTCAAATACACCAATCGCAATTTTATGTACGAATGAGACATACATTAATAAGGCCTAACATAGCAAGCCTAGTTAGCATCCTACAAATCTTATGGCTTCTACACTAAAAAAAAGAAGTTTGTCTCATGTAAACCATGTTATTGATTATGAGCCCCTTATTGTTGAAGGCAAACTAAAGTGATTGTGATTGGACATCTGTCCTGATTCCAATGCATAAAATACCCGGATATAGCAGATGCCCATTCAAATGTCCAGTAAAACTTGCTGGAAAAATCATAGAAATGGGCTGAAAGAATTTTTTATTTTTTCTATATGGCCAAGAAGACATGAAATCAATGTCTTTGCAGACACGACAAGAGGAATTGTGATCATGAACAGGTAGCATGTTGCAGATCACTGATAAAATAGTGGTAACCTTGATCAAAGGAATTCCAACCATATTGACATCAGCAAAAGGTCCAGCATAGTAAGTTAAAAGAAGGAGCAAAATGCATTGGTGTATACAAACACAAACACACAACACTTTCGGTGTGGACACCGCCAGTTATTTCCTGCATAAACATGATGACTTTCCTTTGAGGCCTCTAGCAAGTGTAGATGAGGTTTGTTGTTCAAAGTTAACAGACTGCGCATACAACCCAGGAGTGGAATCTCTGCTAAATGAAAAGTTGTGGCCGGTTGGCTCTCAGAAAATGTAAAATAGTAGGGGATGAATGGTAATAATTCCAGAGGTTTTTTTTCCCCTTTAGGTGAGCCTGATATTTCTTTGTTGGATGCCTCAAAATGTACCTGCTGAATCGGGAGCTCAGCTCCTCATGGTTCTTCGGTGCCTGAGACCTCTGCGCATATTCAAACTGGTGCCCCAGATGAGGAAAGTTGTTCGAGAACTTTTCAGCGGCTTTAAGGAAATTTTTTTGGTATGTTAGAATTCTGCTTTGCTTCCAGTTCACTGTAGTCCATCTCTAATGTAGCTAATGAGGGAAAAGTGAGTCCTCCTTATTATCAAGGTCAATCAATAGTTTCAGTGACTGCCAGAGGGTTTAGTGGCACTAACAAAACAGAATCACCTTCAAAAACTTTACCCGTGAGTGCTTCTGGCGTATGAGTTTATTTAATTCATCTAAAGAGAAGCACTCTGAGATCTGAGAGTTAGTATCTGCTGACTCTTTCAGTCCTAACTCTTGCCTCTAATTTCTACTCTGGGTTTTCATGTCCTCCCATCTGAAAAGTAAGGATAAGAAGATTCAGCACCATGTACTCCACACATGGGATTAGGAATTCCTGCATTTGGGCTCCTAATCTCGTTCTGTGTGTTCCTGAAAGAAGGTCGCACAGAATTTGCCTCTAGATCTCAGGAGTGTCAACGTAAAACAACTTTAAAAATGCAACGTATAGGTATAACCCACTTTAACTTCAGAATTACAGTAATGAGCGATTGCAAAGATGATTGAGGGACAAAACATTCTTTTTAGTTGGGCAAACGTTGATTTAGGGTCTTCTGAAAACAAGGCCGGAGATAAAACAACAAGAAAGAGGCTCGTTGTTCACAATCTGTAACGGAAGATCTTTGCCTTACAAAAGAGAGATCAAAAGATTCTTTCTATTATTGATGAGGTCTGCTTGTGCATGAGAAGCGGAATTAATTTACATAGGCTTGTTTTGTATCTTGCTTTCTAAAGACATACCCGTGAGGAGAAATCAGCCGTAGTTGATACAAATGTATTTTCAAGATAGATTGTGATGTTACTAGAGGTATATCAGTGCTGATTTTTTTTTTTTTTTTTTTGATGCGGAGTGTCGCTCTGTCACCCAGGCTGGAGTACAATGGTGCCATCTCAGCTCACTGCAAGCTCCGCTTTGAGGGTTCAAGTGATTCTTGTGCCTCAGCCTCCCAAGTAGCTGAGACTACAGGCATGTGCCACCACGCCCAGCTAATTTTTTTGTGTTTTAGTGGAGACGGGCTTCACCATGTTACCCAGGCTGCTCTCGAACTCCTGACCTCAGGAGATCTGCCCACCTCGGCCTCCCAGTTGCTGATTTTTTTAAGATGTGTTTTAAAATTCTTGTTTTCTTTATGCAAAGCCATAAAACGGTGGCTCTTTACACAGCTAGAATTAAAGAAAATATCACCAGACTGCTGAGGTATATGAATCTTTTGATCACTGATAAATTTTAGAGGAGAATTGATTTGTGCCTTTCTCTAATGATGTGTCAGTGTGATTTCAGTATAGTTAGGTACATGTTGAGGTTATTCAACCAGTGCAGTTCACTTCTTCCATATTGCCCCTCTTCTCTGCTGAGACCAAAGAAGTCAGCCAGCAGAGGGAGCATGAGCTAATTAACAGATCTGCTTTTCGGGACTGAATTTTCTCCTTGAGCATAGCACATTGTCCTAATGCACACCTTCACGGTCACAAGACAGTTAAGCCACTGTCCCCCTCATTTGTGCTCTGCTAATAAAAATATGAATTCATTTGGGAAAAAAAATGAATAAAATGTAATTATTTAAACATTTTTTTCTTTTGTTCCATTGGATAAAAAAGAGCAAGGTATTGATTTTAAAATCAGAAAAGTTCAAGTCATATCAAAAATATCTTATCCATTTTCTTATAAGAAATTAAGGTTTCCATTTAAAAAATTCAAAGCTTGTTAATTTCTCCTTTTGACCTTCCAGTAAGGCTAATTGTATGATGTACGGTGGAGAAGCTAAAATATATTATCAAAAACCCAAGATTTTTATACAATGTTATCTTAAAATTCCTATTTATATCACTGTTTCAACCAAACCTAATATTTAGTCTTTACCAAGAGATTTAACATTTCATCAATTTCTTTCAGGTCTCCATTCTTTTGCTGACATTAATGCTTGTTTTTGCAAGCTTTGGAGTTCAGCTTTTTGCTGGAAAACTGGCAAAGTGCAATGATCCCAACATTATTAGAAGGGTAAGATGTACCTTTCTGTCTTTCAAAATAAAAATTAAGGGCCAAGTGTGGTGGCATGTGCCTATAATCCCAGCCCTTCGGAATGCCGAGGAGGGAAGATCACTTGAACCCAAGAGGTCAAGGTTGCAGTGAGCTATGATTGCACCACTGTACTTCAGCCTGGGCAACAGAGCAAGAGACCCTGTCCTTAAAAAGAAAAAAATATTAAGGCAGTTTACACTCCCTTGGCAAGCATGTGGTACCAGTGGCTACCAAGCCTACTTTGAGAACTCCCTATAAAACTCTAAGAGTTCTCTTCCCACAAGTTCCTTTTTGCTTAAGCATGCAATATGTCGCTTCTGGCTAGAAAGGTTAATGAGATGAAAAGCACATCTCAGAGAATGTGACTCTTCCCTCCTATTCCAGTGTCAATCCACTGTTGACATCTTGAGCATGGGTCACCCAGGATTCCAGCTGTTTATACCTGTGAGCTTCGGATACTTTCCCTTGATGTCTTCACTAACCTGATCCTTCCTTTGTTGTCACATAAGGCGCATAACAGCAAGCAGCCCCATGCAAAAATGTCCAAGAGACAGCGTTTGCCTCTCACCCCTTTTATTGTTTCTCCACTGTCAGCTTCCTCCCCATTAGAAAGCCAGTGCCTCTATAATCCCAGCACTTTGGGAGGCCGAGGCGGGTGGATCACGAGGTCAAGTGATCGAGATCATCCTGGTCAACAAGGCGAAACCCCATCTCTACTAAAAACACAAAAATTAGCTGGGCACGGTGGCACGTGCCTGTAATCCCAGCTACTCAGGAAGCTGAGACAGGAGAATTGCTTGAACCCAGGAGGCGGAGGTTGCGGTGAGCCGAGATCGTGCCATTGCACTCCAGCCTGGGTAACAAGAGTGAAACTCTGTCTCAAAAAAAAAAGAAAGAAAGCCAGTGCCTTTACATTAGCTCTCAGCTGCCCAGAATCTCCCTCTTTATGACAACCACGAGGACCTCCACAAAGGCCCAGACTTGACTACTTGCACTACTGCATTTCATTTTCTGTTTCTTCGGTCATTGGTCATAACGGGAGGATAGCTACTGTAACAAGCCCACTATTAAGTAGCTTCACATAATGAAATGTATATATTGCATCTTGGGTAAGTATATATTTGCAGTATATATTGCAAATGTATATATTGCAACTCTCCTCCACATGACCGCTCAGGGATTCACATGCCTTCTATCCTGCATCTCCCGCCTTGGCCGTGTCTTCAGAGCTTTCTCAATTAGCTGGAGATAAGAATGGAGAGCCATCTCTATCTGAGTGGGCTGTGGGAGACTCCTCTCCACCCACATTCCACCATAAAGAGCAGGGATACTGCAAGGGGGGCTGGAATTTAGTTGTGTGCTCCGGGAAAAAAAAGGTGGGGACACAGTTTGGTTAATAACCAGACAATTTTTGCAATTTCATGCAGTATTCTCTTAGGATTCTCATGTTACAAATAGATTAATAAAGTAAACCAACTACTGCTGTTGTATAATCTAGAAAAGTATTTTCTCTTTGATCCCAATAAAATGATGCCTTAGTTCCTAAATGTGTATCTTCAAAAGGCCTACTAGGCCTGAACTACGCTATATATTTCTTGTAAATATGGCTATCTAATATAGATTTTAAATGATAAAAATTGTTAGTTCTCTAACTGTTACAAAATACAGGTAACATCTTTGTCCAGCCAAAATACATTATAACTTCTATTAATGATGAGAATTGGAAACAAAGGCCGGACTGAGAAAGACATCCCAGGAGCTTTGATGAATCTGAACAGATAGAACAAGGAACGTGGCCTGACAGTCATGCTGTTCCAAATTAGCTGATGAAGAAAATGACAGAGAGCTGACGCATTCGTCCACAAACTTGTTTGTGAAAAGAAGAGCGATTTTCAATCCACACTGAACAGAGGCCAGAAAGATAATAACACTTCAAGATGAAGCCTGCCAGGAATCTTGGATGACTCAGTATGTTAATAGCTACCTGAAAGCATGGTCATTTTACGTTATCCACTCACACCTGGCCCAAGCTGAAGATTGTTGGTGACAGCAGCCAGGAGATGAGCACAGACACAGGTTTCATAATGCATTTATCCTCTTTCCTAGAACAGTGAGGTCTGTGCAAGGCTCAGAAGGAAAACCTAAGGAGACTTAGCCATCACAGAGAGCACCAGCACCAAGCAGAATGATTGAAAAGGAATTGGCATGGTGAGACAGGGCTTGAGTCTTTTTATCCTCTCAAATCCAAATACAAGAGGCCAAGGCCAAGAACCCCATATGAGTGAAGGTGATGTCAGTTCTATCAGAGGACTGCAGCCCATCTTACTAAGAAAAGAGCTGAATCCAAAGAAAAGGGGAAAGTAGATACACCAACATTTAGATTGCACACAGTTCCTGGTTAAACGCAACGAAGGTTGAGTCGTTGTGCCCATAGTTTCCAGTTGGGAAAACATGTTTTCTTGTATGAGGCTGAGCACTTCCTCCCTCTGCTCCTTTGTTTGTTTTCTTAAAACTCACTAGATGTCATGAGATCAATATAGATATAGATATGGAGCCTAGGACTTAGTCACCAAAGCCCTGTAAACAAACTCTGAGGATACCTTTTGACAAATAGTCATTGAATATCAGTAGTGTCCAAGGCACTGTGCCAGGTGAAATGAAATGTGGAATGGAAATATTCGGAGGTCCTTGTTTCAGTTTTGTGGCATTTTGTGTCCAATCAGAACATGTCTTTCATGTTCAAGCAACAGTAATATAAAATCAGCAGTTTTAAAAAGCCTGTGGAAGCAGAAATCACATGCAAACTATGATTTCAGCAGGGGAAATTGTGCTTCTAATTGGGCGTACTGTGCTGGGAAAGTTTCCAGGAGGAAGTAGGATTTGAGATGAGCAAGAAAGGACCTTCCAAGCAGAGAAAGCCATGAAGAAAGACACAAAGCCTGCAAAGAAGAGTCACAGTGCCGAGGCAGGTGCGGAGCAAGGTGGGACCTTGACATCACAACTTCTTAGATTGGAATCCTACTTTAGGAGAGGTTAATCCCTCTGGAACTTATTTCCTCCTCGAATGCTTCTCACACAATGATATTATGAAGATTAGATAAGCTTGTTTATGCAGAGTACCTTACCCAATCTCAATTGTGACTGTGAATTTCATTCCCGCCCATGTAGGAAAAAACTGAAAAACAAGGCCAGAAGTTAGGGAGAGATCCTCAAGCACCTGAAATGCCAGGCTAAGGGGTTGGAATTTCGTCGATGAAATAGAAATCACCAAGGAAGAGGAATCAGACACGTCCGAGTGCTCATAAAGTACAACGCACTGTTCCTAGTGCTATTTTTGTTACCCATATCCTACTAATAAGGAAAACAGGTGTAGAAAGATTAAATAATTTGTCCAACGTCACTCACCTAATAAGCAGAGAAGCAGGGAACTAGTGTCCAGGCACGCTGGCTTTTAACGGAGATACCAGACTGCTTCACGCAGTCAAAGGTGGGGCCAGGTGGGTTCAGGAAGACAAATTGGAAAAGGTAGTGAGACCAAATACATCATGGGACTTTTATATGATGCACTGCAACACAGCCTTTTCAAATATTGTTCTGCATAAAAGGTGTGGTTATGGAAAGATAATTGCAATATAGTTTTAGCTGAAAAAAGTGGTCAATGTTAGAATAAAAACTTTATGAGCTCAGATACGTATAGGAAAAAAGACTGGAAGGGTATGCTGCAAAATGTTCACTATGTTTGTGAGCAATTGTAGGTAAGTTTTCTTCCTTTTGTTTGTCCAGGCTTTATAAAGATGTGTTATTTGCATTAAAATGTTCTTATTTTAAAGAATTGTGCTGGTAATCCAGAAGGAGGTAACGTTGGTGTTAGGAAACTCACTGTAGTAAGAATGGAGACATGGGCCAGGAAGAACAGGGAAAGCCCAGGGAACTCTGAGCTTGATGCTGGGCTTCTACCGGGTTGCTGGTCCAGGAACAGAAAGGAGGAGGCCAGGACAAGACATGGTTTAGGGTCAAAAAGGACTTTAAGCAGATTAAAATGGAATTTCTATTGAAATATTCAAATGGTGATCAGTAATTTTACCATCTACACCTTGAACCCAGAGATGAGATTTAGGTTCAAAACATGACCATCATAGCCAAAGAAACAAAAATAATCAAAGGGAGCATAGGAAATGAGTCAGAAACTTCCTACGGATGTTTAATTTTAAAAACCTTTATAGCAGCTTTATTGAGATATAATTCACATACCATACAATACACCTACTTCAAGTGCACAATTCAGTGGGAGTTTCTTTTTTAGCATATTCACAGAGTTGTATGTGTGACAGCCACTTTTAGAACATTTGCGTCTCAAAAAGAAACGATGTATCTTCTAACTGTCACCCCCATCCCTTTAGCCTTCACCTCAGTCCCTAAACAACAGCTAATATTCTTTGTGTCTCCATAGAATTCACTGTTCTGGACTTTTATATGAATGAAATCACAACATGTGGTCTTTTCTGACCGTTTTTTTTCTCAATTAGTGTAATATTTTCAAAGATCATCCACGTTGTAGCAGGTATCAGGACTTCATCCCTTCCTATGGCTGAATACTACTCACTTGTACGGTTGGATCACAGTTGGTTTGCCTATTTGTCCAATAATGGACATCTGGCTTGTTTCTACCTTTTGGCTATCGTGAATAACAATTATATAAGCCTTTTGTACAAGTTTCTGTCGGGATGTATGTTTTCATTTCTCTTGCGTAGGTAGCTCGGAGCAGAGTTGCTGGCTCACATGGTAACTCTGTGTTAGCGGTTTGAGGAGCTGCCAGCCTGCTTTCCAAAGTGGCTACACCATGATACATTCCCACCAGTAGTATGCAAGGGTTCCAGGATGAGGGTAGCGATTCCTCCACATCCTCGCCAATGCTTGTTGTTATTTGCCTCTTTGGCTATGGCTTTCTCTGCAGGTGTGAAGTGATATCTCATTATGGTTTTGATTTACATTTTTCTGATGGCAGATGGCACTTGCTACTGAGCATCTAGTCTTGTGCTTTTTGGCCACTTGCGTGTCTTCCTTGGAGAAATGTCTACTCAGGTCTTTTGCCCATTTAACTAATATTTTCAGCATCAACGTTGAACTGCCTGTCTCCAAAGTCTTTGTTACTATTTGCTGGGTAGCCATTCACATCACTGTTGTCGGGTAAAGGACTTTTGGTGTGCTATGAAAGAAGAGTTTCCTATCCTTTATCTTTTCTGAGTTCATTCTCTGACCGGGTTCCCCCTCTCCCCCTTGTTTTTCTATTTTAGGAAGATTGCAATGGCATATTCAGAATTAACGTAAGTGTGTCAAAGAACTTAAATTTAAAATTGAGGCCTGGAGAGAAAAAGCCTGGATTTTGGGTGCCCCGTGTTTGGTAAGCATTTCAGAAACAACATTCTGAAGAGGATGGTGTGCTTGTAATATAAGGCTTAAGAAGAATATGGCATAAAACTAAAAGTAATTTTCCTAGACATGTTAAAACCATCTTAAATCATACAGGGCAAAGTGCTAGATTATACTGGAATACAGAAATAAGATAGAGAGCAAGGAGTACGTGGAGTTCTACATAGCTTCATGAAACTACAGAAATATTATCTCAATATTTTTCTGATACTTCAGAAGTATATATCTAGATTCAAATGGCTTTAAAAATTAGTGAGACTTAAAAAAGGATTTTCTGTCAAATTAAAACTAAACTTATTCTGAGTTTGTATCTTCAAAGGAGGAGCTGATATCTTCATAATAGAACTCTAAATCATAAAGCTATTTCAATTTTAAAACCCATTTACACTGAAGGATTTCCATTATTGAAACACTGGAGAGGAAAATAATCAGCAGTAACACAGCTGATTACTTCTAATTTTTCCTTTAGTATTTCTTTTTCTTGAAATTGAGTTTAAAAGCACTTAGATTAAAGCTAGAAATACCTAGTACCTTCTTTCTCATCTATTTTTTTAATGACCAGGAGTGGGATCTCTCAGTCTGTGTCATTGGCAAACTGAGTGTTCTGTCAACTTCATTTGTCCTTTGAAATTATCTGTTTTTTAACTTTTCTTTTTGAAAATGTCTTAGAATAACAACCGAACCACAGCAACTCTGCTTTTGTCACAACTGATGTTCTTTTCTGAATGTCAAAACTCTTTCAAAGGAATCACACTTAACCCAGCCGTACCCTAGCACTCACTATTACCTTTCTTTGGCATTTCTCTAATATGAAATTTGCTTTTATAAATAATCTAATATAATGAATATTGAGTTTTTATTTTTTTTAATATCCAAGAACTAAGAAAAAGGGTTCATTTTGGGTGTGTGGCTTCAGCATGGAGACAGAAGAATGTGAGACATGAGAATCTCCTCACCCCACTGCCAACTAGAAGAGCAGTTCAGTTTCCATTAAAATAAAAATTAAAGGGCATAAAAATTTACTTCCATGAGACAAAAATTAATTATAGCATAAAGTAATTTATGTGATAATTAATTAATTAATTATTATTAATTCAACGATATCATGGAAGTAAATGAAGTCAGGAGTAGAGAACACTGGGCATTTCATTCCCTTCACTATGGAAAAGGTGGAGGGTGCCTCCCACCTCTGCCAAGCGAGGTACCCCAGGGGCAGCACTTAACAGAGACAGGCAAGGCAAGAAGAGAGACTCTGTGGTCAGGCTGCTCATTATCATCTGGAGAGCAGGGTTAGCTGGTGTAGTCACTGCCTAAGGCCATATCATCTGAGTCCTCTTGAATGGAGCCCTGCTGCAAAGAGCTTTGTGCTTGGAAGGGGTATCACCATTCAAAGAGTCTGTAGGCATGTTTCCAGAAGCCAGACCTGAGAATCACCCAGAGACTGCACACTCACAAGAGGAAAGGTGCAGTGGGGCGCTCCTAGGCTGAGGAGTGGATTCAAACCTCTTGAACGCCTACGGCCAGAATCCAGTTGTAGCAGATGCACAAGACTTTAACTCCATTCCTCTGGTTTCCAACTACATCCCACCCCAATCGTGTAAGAATCTTGTGGTGGCCTGAAGAGGAGGCGTGGAAGTGAAGAAATTCCACATTTTCTTCCTTTCTTCAAGCCGGGGTCCTTGAGTTGCTAAGGATGGGATTGTTGTATGAGTTATAGGATCAATCGGATGTAAAACGGATTTGGCTTTTCAGAAAGAGGCTGATCTTATGACTGAAAATAATCAAAAAGCTTTGGGACCTCCCCAAGATACCAGAAAGGGAGCTGGAACACACTTGAAGCTAATGTTTGAAGTAAAGTAAACCTGTGACCCGTTGTACCCTACAGCATTCAACCTATTCCACAAAACCAGCTACATGGGGTTTTTTAAATCAGTTAATTTCAATGCAATATTTTATGTAAGGTGTTATTAGGGGTTTCAAATGCAATGACGTTCTAGAAGCATAAGCAAATAGCCTGGCATTTTTTTTTAACATCGTCACAATTACTCTTGTCCATTTGTCCAGGATGATGTGATTTGGATTGTGGGTGAAAGAAACACCTTAAATCTAATAACTGTCATCTGTAACCATGATAAATTTTTATACTTTCCTTCTGCAGTAAGCTAATCAAGAGTTAGAAGCTGAAAATTTTGTCATTTTATATTGGCTAAATTACGATTAAGAAAATAACATATTTAGGAATACACCTAGAGGAGCCTTTGGTAATTATAATTAGAACATAAATATGCACTCATTCGCGAGACAGTCTAGATTCAATATTCTCTCTTCAGGTTGATAAATGTGCTTTCTTCTGAATCACTCGGACTTGAGTCACCTCAGTAAAAAGGATTAAACATATCATAAATTATAAATATGGTGTGATTTGTTGTAAGAAGAGGTCTGGAATATAGGAAAATGGCATGCATGGGAGAAAAGTCAACAAAGGATTCAGGTTTATAATGAATGTATTTAATGAGTGCTTGCTATTCACCAGGTAGTATGCTTCTCTCTGTGATATGGTCCTGAATAAGCTATGACGCCACCACTTAAGAGCTTAAAGACTAGTGGAAAACAGAAAATAAAATTACAAGTAATTTTATATAATATGCTAAGGGCTGTAATGCTGCACAGATAAGCCCCTAAGCTTACCTTTGGCTTACCCAAAACTCATCTCCATGTAATTTTGAGTTATACTGTAATATGTTCTAGGCAGAAGGAGATCGGGTTTTATAGGGTCTGAGGTACAAACAGTTTGGGCTACCAGGGTCTTAGAAGGGCTTGTGCAAAAGCGGGGTCCTGCCACTCAGGTTTCTTTGGCTTTATGGTATACCTGCCTCTGATTCCTACAGAAAGGCCAAGGGTGCAATGGCACACCCAGGAGAAGCACCTGACCCCAACTATGACAGGATCAAAGAGAAGGACCAAATGAGAAGACACACTTGTGACCTTTTGAAGGACAACCAATAGGAACTAGCCTGGTGAAGCCGGCAGGGTCAGAGGCAGGAGGCAAGGAAGGTGTGGGCGTAGGTTTGGTATTGCAAGTTAACGTAACTCTATGGCCAAAGTTCAAGGCAGGAAGGGTTGAAGGGTTGGGGCGTTGTAGGAAGTACAATGCTTCTGATTTCTTTTAGGAGAGATGGTTGTGTAAGATACGGAATGCCTTTTTTGGACAATGTCATTTTCTGCATTTTCGCATCCAAGGGCAGAGGCTCAGTCATGTCTTCAGGGTCCCCCCCCATGTTCCCCAGGGAAGAGCAGCTCTCCTTACCATGACCTTAGGGGGCCTTGGAGCACCTCCTCTGGGAGGGGAAAAGACTGACAAAATTATGTGCTCAACCAATGTCTTTAGTTTTCCAAATTGGACGGACAAGATTATAATCTTTCACAAATTAACCAGAAAAAAATGACAACCTTTTCAATTCAGGCAGGGAAGGTAGTGGGTAAAAATGACAATAATGGATGACATTTGGGATTTATTGAAGGACTCTGTAGTTACAGGTAAAGTTTCAAACTTTGCCAGCACGAACAAAGCATAAGAACAAAGCAAAAACATCTTACATGATTAAAACTGAAAAAGATTTATTTTTTTTTAATCTGATAAATTCTTGTAAATCTTTGATGCTACATTTTGTTTTTCTTGGTTTAGTTAGATTTTATTTATTTATTTATTTTTTTGAGATGGAGTTTTGCTGTTGTCACCCAAACTGGAGAGCAGTGGTGTGATCTTGGCTCACCGCAACCTCCACCTCCTGGGTTCAAGCGATTCTTCTGCCTCAGTCTCCCAAGCAGCTGGGATTACAGGCATGTGCCACTACACCTGGCTGAGTTTCTATTTTTAGTAGAGATAGAGATGGGGTTTTCCATTTTAGTCAGGCTGGTCTCTAACTCCTGACCTCAGGTAATCCGCCCACCTTCGCCTCCCAAAGTGCTGAGATTACAGGCATGAGCCACCGCGCCCAGCCTAGTTAGAATATTTTTAACATATTGTAACTTTTATAAGATATGGAACATAAAAGTAGTTTAAGTTGCCACAAATTCAGCTAAGGCAGCACTTCTACATAAAGAAAATGGACAAATAAGGAAGTCCAACATCAGATCTGAGAACTGGTTCACTTGGTTTTCAAAAATCCTTATTCAAGCAAACTGTAGCATCTGTAGAATCCTTATAACTTCTGTCTACTGTAAAATATATGAAATTTAATGGAAACATTCCGAAGGAAAGATTGTTGGAAGCATCCAAAAGAATGTGTTTGCACTTTCATATGTAAAAAATACAAAGCAGAATTCCAAAATATGAGTTTCTAAGTGGGGTGTTTGCTCTATATTAAAGAACATCTCCACTAATCAGCACTAAGCCCTTAAGAGCAAATCAGTTTCAGTTTAATATTTTCTTCTTATATCTTCATCTATTTAATATTCGAAAAACTTCTGAAGGCACATCTTGTGACTGTCTCTATAGTTTAAAAAACATAAAAGATGGTAGAAAAGCACGGAACCAGATTTTCCCAGAGTGTTGCTTCTCATGAGGGTTAAATTTTGAGAAATGAGATAGGAGGGGGGAAAAATGATCAAAAATAACTTACACAGGCTCCACTGGGCCTACTCTATTCAATAGTCCAGAGCTCAGTTCCTCATTACCTTCAGTAATTGTACTTACAGTCCATGATTCTCCAGTGTTTGGTTGTTGAAATCTTTTAATTATTTAAAATTAGCCTCTAATAAGTGGGGGAACACACTGAAAACTTATTCCATTAATAACAAAAATGTTAGCTAAGACCCATAACGATGAAAGAGGATGCAATTAGTAAAAAAGATCACTTTTATAAGTGGGAAGAAAAAAGTATAAACATGTTAAAAGAAAAAGAAATGAGACATCCTTGGCCCCCACAGAAGTGGGAGCTAAATGGTCAGTACACATCCATAAAGATGGAAACACCAGACAGTGGGGACTTCAAACAGAAGGAGAAAGGAAGGAAGAAAGAAAGGAGGGAAAGGGTGGAAAAATTACCTATTGGATTCTGTGTGCACTATCTGAGTAATGGGTTCTCTAGAAGCCCAAACCCCAGCACTGTGCAATACACCCATGGAACAAGCCTGCATGTGTCCCCCCACCCCACCATCAAATCTGTAAGAAAAAAGAAAATGAATAATAAGCCAAGGAGTTTCAGGAATCAGGAATCAACGGTGGAGGTAGAAAGCACACCACGCATAGAGGGGACCAGAAGAAGAGTCCACTGAGAAGACTCAGAGTTAATAAGAAAAACAATCCCATTGGAAGAGAGTAATTTGGAAAAATACAGACTACAAGCAAACCCCTCTTGCCATCTCAGTGACCTCTAAAGGCATCACTGCTTTACAGCACTGTGGTCACAATGATGACACAAGGTGAAATAAAGTGACTGAATTCTACTCTATACTTTCCATACTTAGAGAAATGTGATTTATGCCTTTAGAAAGATTTTCAATTACAAAACTGTTTCAGAATCCACATCCAAAATCCAATGCTCCTTTGTGCAAATCTATAAAACCATCTTCCCAGTTCTCGGGGCAATCAGGACAAGGTAGAAATGTCACAGAACCTCTAGAGCTAGAACTAGAGCTGTTTTACATTGAGATCACCCATTCATTACCTAATGAACATAATCAATTGTAACACACTGATGCATTGTTACGATTTAACAAATGCCATATAGCATAAAAGTGTGTGTGTATACGTGTGTGTGTGCGCATACACATACACACATGCGCACACACGTCTCCCGCACCCACGACTGATAAGGGCTATAGGTATTTGCCTTCAGGTGCTTCTTATTGGAATTTCACAGAACATTCCTGTATCGGAATTGCAGGGCGAATCCTCGGAACTTTAATTTCGACAATGTGGGAAATGCTATGCTGGCATTGTTTGAAGTTCTCTCCTTGAAAGGCTGGGTGGAAGTGAGAGATGTTATTATTCATCGTGTGGGGCCGGTAAGCGAGCTCATCAGATCCTTTGAACACTTCAAGAGCAGCTTTCATTTCCTTTGATGAATAACCATATTTTCCTTTATGCAGATTCATGGAATCTATATTCATGTTTTTGTATTCCTGGGTTGCATGATTGGACTGACCCTTTTTGTTGGAGTCGTTATTGCTAATTTCAATGAAAACAAGGTAAGAGTCTTTGGTTTGGATACCACAGGGTTTAGTCTTTCCTAGCTGCTCACTTTGAGCTTTACTCTTTTCACACACGGCATGAAGTCGCATTAAACTGTAATGTGACTGGTGTAAATAACCTCTATAACTGTTTTACAAGCTACCTCATAGCTGCCTTTCAGACCCATTATTTAAGAGTACAATTCTCTTGCTAAATGTACTCTTTTGGTAACAGTGTCATTAATTCAACAACAACTGAGAAGCATATCTCCTATTGTTCACATTGAAAAGATGTGCAGCAAGTTATTCAAATACAATAGCTGAAAGTGATTCGCTAATTACAGGCAATAATACTTTCACTAAATGTAAATTGTATGCTTCTGTGTAACTTGGTAGGTGAACTCAGAATTTTGATGGGGATGGGGGGTGTCTGGTAGAAATTTTAAAATCCTAATTCACAGAAAAAAAGATTTTGTGGCTGGGCACGGTGGCTCACACCTGGAATCCCAGCACTTCAAGAGGCTGAGGTGGGCAGATCACTTGAAGTCAGGAGTTCAAAACCAGCCTGGCCAACATGGTGAAATCCCGTCTCTACTAAAATATAAAAATTAGCTGGGCGTGGTGGTGCACACCTGTAATCTCAGCTGCTCAGGAGGCTGACGCACAAGAATCACTTGAAGCCAGGAGGCAGAGGTTGCAGTGAGCCAAGATCACGCCACTGCATCCAACCTGGACAACAGAGCAAGACTCTGTCTCAAAAAAAAAAGATTTTCTAATTTCGTATAAACTTTATATACTTTGTGAGCTGAGGAAGGCTGTTGAGTTTGTAACAGCTCTAATGATTAGAACAAAGGCTCACAAATGGGAAAACAGCAATGCAGTTTCCTATCAAAGTGTGAGTTTGGGGAAGAACATTCTATTAGCCCTCCTTGGAGAGAGGCTTGCTCATGTAGGCACTTGTGCTATGCCCTCTATTGTTTGTGAGGCAGTCTTTGGAATCATAGGGAAAAGCATGCAGTTTTTGATCACACACTTATGTACTAAGATTGTGCATATTCAATCAATTCTCACAACTCTCAAAGCATATTTGCAGAAAAAGCAGTGGCTAGTCTGGAGCTTCTAAGTCGTGAAAAATAGGGCCAGAATTCGGAATTGGTGCCTATTACTGCAGGCTCTGTGATTCTTCGAGGGCAAGAGTATAAAAATGTCAACCTTCGCTCTGCATTAAGTTGAAGCTGGATCTGCCTGTAAAGCACCGTGCTGCTCGATGTTATTCTCGGCTAGGACTGATTCCCGTGCGTTCACAGCAGAGCTCTTTAGTTTGTGTAGCTACACATGGGACTGTATCTATCATTCACTGTCCCCATGTGTGGTGCCAGTTACCCAGTCAATTGACACCTTTGATGTGTGGCTATGAGCATGTCATTTCATTTAGGCTTTCAAAGAGTGAGATTTAAAAATTCTTCTTTTGGGCTCCAAAAAGAGGACCCTCCGAAACATGGGACCTTAGAGATATGAAGAACAGTAGTGATCGTGTCACCCAGCCCCTTATTTCACTCCTAACACATTCATTAATGAGATGCTTTGAGCCCTACAGTGTTTAGTTTAATACCAAGCAGAAAGAGGAAGAAGGATCTTTTTAGATGCCTTTGAGCCATGTAATGGAGCAGACACTGAGAATTCTAGAATATAAGCAGAAGCAAATCAGTCAATTAACAGGAGAGTTTTGGCACTACTTGCCCAGAACACTTTTAAAAAGCCTTCTGAGCAGACACCTGATTTTAGGAAGATTAGAACCTATCACAGCTCACATTTAGCAACATACATAGAACGACATAAAATGTTCAGTAACTGGAAATAAGTGTATAATTAATTGCAGTGCTTGAGCTTAGAGGAGTGGCTGAGGTAACCAGAGTAAGCAGGGAGATCTCCATCCACTGCTGTATTCATGTTCTGCAGGCAGGAAAGAGTAACTTGGCCTGTGTAGGGATCTGGGGAGCAAGTTACATCAGCTGAAATGGGCACTTAGAGAAAGGAGAAATTGACAAGAAGTCATATTACCAAACATTACACACTTGATTTGTTAATTGGAGATATCAATTGCTAAATTATGTAAGCCTTTTAGAAAAGTTTCTTTCTCTGCAAGTACTTTTTTAGAAAGCAGCTCATGAGCTGCCATGTAACAGCATTTACGTATTATTCAATCATTCAGTAGATTTAGATGAGCATCTACTAGGTTGCCAGATGCTGCTCTTAACACTGAGGACCTAGCAAACTAAACACTTAACACAGAAAAGCATTTGCCCTCATGGAGCATACATCTTAATAGTTATACCCAAAGGCACAGAGGTAAATTTCCAAATATAGAGACAACAGAGATAGAAAATGAGGGAATCTTTGGGGTACAATTCAGAGTCATGCAAAAATATGTCTTCCTTCAAAAATGGAAACCTCTTTTAAAAGTTCTAAGTCTATACTAGTAATATAGTTTTTTTTTTTTTGAGTTCTCTACTACATAAGACAATGTGTTTGATTAACTTAATTTGACAATAATAAACTTTCAGAGGTTTTTCTATATTGATCAGAGGATACCTCCCTGTTTATTATTATTCCAGACCCTTTCAGAGTTCAACTTTCCAAAAGATACTTTTTGTGTAACAAAGGAATTACATTAATGTCTATGGTGGCCAGAGAACATGTGTTTGTTTATAATTAGTGAGAAAAGTGGTTGAGCAATATGAATATCAGAAAAGAACAATTTCAGATAAACACTATTATTGGGAAAAATGATATATTAAACAATAACAAAAGAAACTAATTGCCAGAGAGATACAGAACTTCCAAATCTCAAAATGTACAAAGCAAAAATCAACCGGGTTATAAAAAGAAGCCAGAAAATCCAAAATCATGATGAAAGATATTAGCATATTTCTCTAAAAGTCTCATAATTCAGAGAAGAATAAAAGGAAATACAAGATTTGATACAATAAACACCATGAAGTGAACATCTAAGAAAAAAATCTAATTCCAATAATTTGAAAATGTGCATTATTTTCAAGCACAAAATGTATCTCCCACAAGACCATAATTACCAAAGATTGATAATGTAAGAATGTTTTCCGACTATAATAAACACAAATTTTAACATGTATATTCTAACATTCTTACATGTGTATGTTAATGAAAAATCACAAGTTAATATGTGAAATATCCGAATCAATAAATTATAACAAAGTAAAATCAAATAAAGTGCAGGGAAGAAAGTAACAAAGATTAGGACAGAAATTAATGATACAGAAAGAAAGGAAAATTGTCTAGCTTCTATAATGTTCAAGAATAATGAAAGCTGGGTTTTTTTTTTTTTAATCAAGTTGATAAACCTCTAGGAAGGTTGAGCAAAAATAAAAATATAAAACAAGAAAGTAAACAAGCTACAGCAATTAAAACAGTGTCAGTATTGTTATAGGTATAGAAAATTAGACTTACAGAAAAAACTAGAAAGACCCAGCAGGGACCCATGTATGTAGAAAACAAAAGCAGCTCAACAAATCAGTGCAGAGAGTGGTGAGACCAACAGGGAGTGGTGTTGGGAATATTGATTGTATTGATGTAAAGAGCTATGCTGAGATCTTTATCTCACTGCATACTCAAAAATGAATTCCAGATGAATTAAAGATTTTGATATGAAAAGCAAAATTTAAACCATTTTTAAATCATGCCAGCATTCATTTTTTATTTGAATTTCAGATAAGCAGCAAATAATGTTTTTGCTTTTATTATTTTTAATCAACCCGTAATTATTGTACATATTTATGGGTACAGTCTGATATTTCGATTTGTGTATTATAACATATAATGATCTAATCAGGGTAATTGCCATATCCATCACCTCAAACATTTATCACTGTTTTGTGTTGGGAACATTCAAAATCCTCTCTTTTATGTATTTGAAAATATACAATTACAATATACAATACAATTAATTGTTGTCAATTAGATTCACCCTATGTTACTATGGAACACTAAAACTTATTCCTCCAATCTAGCTGTATTTTTGTATCTGTTAACCAAATATTACACTTGACTATCTCCATTCTAGTTCCCCTCCCCACCCCAGTAAGCATTTGTTTTTGACCCCAGAGTAGTTATGGATTTCATAGCATTAGCCACAAAGTAAAATCTATAAAGAAAAAAATTATAAATTAGATTACATTTAAATTAAAATTTTCTGAATGACAAAAGGTACTATAAGCAAAATAAAAATGCAAGCCAAGACTAAGAGAAAATATTAGCAACTTACATTACTGACAAATTAATATCTGGCATGTATAAAGAATCTCTACAAACCATTAAAAAGTAAATAACAAAATACAAAAATGAGCAAAGGATATGAATAGGCAATTCACATAGGAAGATACAAGCATCACCATTTACACACATACAAGTGTTTTATTTCATTAATATTAAATCAACATTAGATACATTTCACACCTATCAAAGTGGTCAGATTACAATCTCTGGTAATATCAAGTATTGGCAAGAATATTGGAATATGGTAACACTTGTATATTGCAGGTAGGATTTTTTTTTTTTTTTTTTTGGTTATTGCTCTTTGAAAAGCAAATTGGTAACATCTGGTAAATGTAAAGATGTTTAAATTCCTAGACCCCATCAATTCTTATCCTAGAGATTTACAATGGAGAAACCCTCATGGATATTTACTGTGAGACAATGCATGGATGTTTATTGCAGCATTGGTTTTAGTCCATAAACCTAAAATAACTTCTGATATTTGTACAGTGTTTGTGAGCAGTGAAAATGAACAAATTAGATCTAGTAATCTAGTTATAAGGTAAGTATACTGTTCAATGAGGATAAAAAAAACAGCATCAATAATCACATATTGGACACCATTCTATAAATATTAAAATCAAAACAAATTCTTATGTATTCATATACACATAGGCACACAAGTCAGAAAACATAGTAAGGGGGATGCACCCCTGAGAGGTAGTGGTTAGCTCTGGGTAAGGAAAGAGAGAGTGGAGTTTCGTCTAGTTGTTAAAATTACACTTCTGCCTTTATAATACAATAAAATATAATGCAGTGCACTGCAACACAATATAACTTTAATCATTTGCATTTTAATCAAGTTCTCATACAGAATATGAAATCCCATTTCGCCAGTTATCACAGCACTAATTTCTTAAAATGCAAACTCTATGACTTTGTACCTCTTAAAAACAGTGTTGCAATTGCACATATTAGACATTTTTTAAAGAAAGACAACACACCCTCAACTAGAAGCAGCTGCATTGACAAGGTATAATTTTGCCGCTATGAAATGAAACTCACTACTATTAGTTAGTATCCTTTATTTGAAAATGCAGTTACGTAGAAAATCCTCTTTAAATTTTTTCTAACCTGAATATTACACATCTTCAAAGATACAAGTTGAAGGCTGCTGAATTCTCTCTGAAACACGTGGTCATCATTTTGGGAATGCCTCCCAAGACCAACTTTGAGCGTTCTGACCATGTTTCTCTAACCACCATGGCTGGAAGAACATGGTCAGTGCAAGCCCCTACATCAGTCCTGTTTGTATCGGCACTCCATCTGCCATGTTCTTGGTGTGACCACGTGACAAAAGGCCTTTTCCTGCTTTCCTTTGTCTGTTAAGGGGACAGCTTTGCTGACCGTTGATCAGAGAAGATGGGAAGACCTGAAGAGCCGACTGAAGATCGCACAGCCTCTTCATCTCCCGCCTCGCCCGGGTACCCAAGATGTTCTGATTTTATTCATGTTGGGCACTAGTGTGGACGATTCCCCAGGAGTCTCAGATTTAAATTAAAATAATAATCGTGAGGCCGCTGGGAGGTTGTGCATAAGTTAATACAGAAACAGGCTCCAAACCACAGATCTCTCCATAAGGCTATTAAAATCAACCACCCAAAGGCTGTGCTTCAGTGCTTTCAGACTAAGACTTAATGAAAAAATGAATTTTTAAATAAAATATATTTGCGCTTGCCTTTTAAAAATATGAGTGAAATGTATTAAACTGACAGAAATTGAATGATGCACTTCTTCCAATACAGACGGCGTCATGCACTGTCGTTTTAAATATTCAGAGCCAGCCATTCCTGCAAAACACCTCACAATAGATGGAACTGTTTGGGGAGAAAAATGTAATAGGTTTTAAGATTAGCATTAAAGAAAATAAAAGACAAGCAAGTAAATGTGACCTGTGTTTAAAATGTCCTTGGCCCAAACCTTTCTTTTCTAGATAATGATGGTTTTAGAGCTAAGATGTATGACATAACCCAGCATCCGTTTTTTAAGAGGACAATTGCATTACTGGTCCTGGCCCAGTCGGTGTTGCTGTCTGTCAAGGTACTTCGTTTCACCCTGAGACTCTCAGAATGAATTCTGTATTCATTGCTACATCCGAGAGTATCACAAGCTGCTATATGCATTCACGGTTATGTTCTTGAATATAAAAACTAAGATTTACTGTCATGGCAAAGTGGGCAGAAGAGGGACAAGTCTGTATGTGTCCGGTGGAGGTGGGCAAAGACTCGTGTGCTGTTTCTGTTGCAGTGGGACGTGGAGGACCCGGTGACCGTACCTTTGGCAACAATGTCGGTTGTTTTCACCTTCATCTTTGTTCTGGAGGTACCGTAATGAGTCAGCTAGTGCTGGGGGAATCTATGCACAGTTTTAAAGTAAATCAGTGTCCCTCTTTGATGCCACTTACTCTCCTCTCTCTGTTCCATTGCCTTTGAAGCTCTGCCCTCAGGATATTTCCTTCTTAAGCTGTTCTGCTTAACTTGAACAAAGACGTCACTTTATCCATCAGATTTTTCTAACTACAGAAATGCTGCTGTCGATTGTTGTGTCTGAGCGATGGCCTGTCCAGTTATGCGAGTTCTAATATTTAGAGGGAATGGTGCAAGCCACTATAATTCAGGCACTTAAGTCGCAATAGACTGGCAAAGCAAGCTGGCCCCTCCAAGGTTATTCTCATATGCGATTCATATATCGCTTTCCAGCGCCATCTTCTTTGAAATACAAGCAGATTCTCATTTTGCCCTATACTGGTTGATGTTTTCCAAAATCTATGGTCTTTTGCTTAAGGAAGAAAAATGTCCCACGATCAGAACTAGTCATAAAACAAGGGGAAAGAGTGTGGAGAATACAGATTTGCAAGCTACTTAACTTCAAAAATAAAGTCATGTATCTTGGTAATAAACTCTACTTTTTAGTTACTACATTGTTTACAATTATTCTTTAAATAGATAGTATAACCCAGCGTGGTGACTCCTATAACGCCGGCACTTTGGGAGGCTGAGGTGGGTGGATCACCTGAGGCCAGGAGTGCGAGACCAGCCTGGCCAACGTGGTAAAACCCCATCTCAACTAAAACACAAAAATTACCCAGGCGTAGTTGCACCTGCCTATAATCCCAGCTACTTAGGAGGCTGAGGCAAGAGAATCGCTTGAACCCAGGAGGCGGAGGCTGCAATGAGCCAAGATTGCACCACTGCACCCCAGCCTGAGTGACACAGCGAGATTCAGTCTCAAAAAATAATGGAATGGAATAGAAACGAAAGGAAAGGAAAAAAAGAAAAAAAGAAAGGAAAAGAAAAGACTGTAGACACATGGCCTAAAGGAAACCTCAAAAGGCGTTAAAGTATTTGTCTCATTTTCCATAAAAAAGATACTGTGTTCACATAAAAGAATTTTAAATTTTCTTCATTAAAAACACATAATACATCTCAAATTAATATATTTAAATATGTGCTGAACACTCTCTCTGTTTATTTTCTTCTTTATTTTTTCTGCAGGTTACCATGAAGATCATAGCAATGTCGCCTGCTGGCTTCTGGCAAAGCAGAAGAAACCGGTACGATCTCCTGGTGACGTCTCTTGGCGTCGTATGGGTGGTGCTTCACTTTGCCCTCCTGGTAAGTACAGAAGTCAAGTTGATTTCAGCTGATTATTTCAGTGTGGTTCAGTTCTGCTCGGTCCTGTTTCCAGTCTCATTTACTCCACATCAACCTGCTCTGAAGCGTTAGACGGACCTCCCTAAAGCCCAGCTTTGACTGTCACGGGCTCTCAGACATGCTTGTGTCTACACGTGCACACTCCCGCACTCCTCACGCAGGCAAAACCTGGCCCCTCAAAGCCCTAGATGGTGCAAGCTAGAAAGAGAAGGACCTTCAAGATCTTCTGCTTTAGCCCCTCATTTTACTGCAACAGATTGAGAACTGTCCACATTCACATGACAAGCTAGTACCAGAAGACTAAACCCTGTTTTCTGAGCTGAAATATAGCATCCATTCCACTTCATTATAATCAGTATTTCACGATGCAGTTCTCAAGTTCTTCCGCTGCTTCATTGTCTACGAGACATTTAGCTTCCACATCTCTAAATCATATGATTCTCTACCTCTATACCTGTGTTCTCAATATTTTACCTAAAGTGCCTTCACCCTCCATTCAGTCTGAGTTCTCACTCAAAATCTGTAGCTCTGGGTGTACTAGACTGTAATCTAGAGCCATATTGTCCAGTGAAAATAAAATGTGGCCACAGATATCACTTAAAATTTTCTAGGAGCCACAGTAAAAAAAATAAATAAATAACAAGTTAATAATTATATTTTCTAAACTACTATATCCAAAGTAGTATTATTTCCATTTGTAAGCAATATAAGATTATTGAGATAAGTTGCATCCTTGTGTCTGTGTATGAAGTCTTTGGCTGAGTGTGTATTTTACACTTAGAGCATATCTTCATTTAAATCACCACATTTCAAGTGCTCAGTAACCCACGTGTGGTTCCATGTGGCTGGTGGCTACCATGCTGGGCAGCACAGCCTAAAAGATATGGGTCCTAGTCTAGGCTCTGCCATTTTCCAGCTTTAACCAATTTATTTGCCTTCAGTGATCCTTTGTTTTCTCCTCCGAACAGGGGATATAAGGTCATAATCCACCTATCCCCTCTGGCATTACGAAGATCAAGTGAGATCATATATTTAAGGCTTTCTGGAACTATAGAGATTATGTAAGCCTTTAGGCATTATTATAATTACCTTTTTTTTGTTGTTGTTAGTCATTCTGGATCTCACCCCCAGGAATATGATCAGATTTTCCCTGTTTCCTTCTATCCATTCCCCCATCCCCTTAATGTTAGAGACATGCAGGGGAAGAGCCATAACATGTGGAACCCATGTAAGCATCCTAAAGGCCTTGCCTTAATATAAGATGCTGTGCTCAAGAATGTAGAAAGCGTCCTTATTAAACCAGTGGTTGCCTTCAGCATCAGGGGCTGTAATGAAGCCTAGGTGAGCTCTCAGTCACCCTGAAGTATTTTCTCAGCAATAAAAGCTGGGCTTCAGGGAGGTCCAACTAACATCTCAGAGCAGGTTGATGTGTGGAGTAAAATGAGACTGGAAACAGAACTGAGCAAAACTGAACCAAACTGAAAGAATGTAATAAGCAAATAAAGACAGTTGCTGCTCTTGTGACCCTTACAGCATGGAAAAGTAGATAGGTAGTCATCAAGTGCTCACAGATCTATGAGTACAAGGGCTGTGATGAGGGAAATGAAGGACAGCCTGTGTTCCTGTGGCTACTTAGATAATAATGGGAAATGGCTTCATCAGAGAAGTCTTGGAAGGCATCCCCATGTCTTCCCCAAGTCTTGGAGCCATCACATCCATGGGAGTGGATATAATCACTCCCATGGATGTGATGGCTCCACCCATAGAATGAGGGGAGGACATTTCAGGCAGCTGTCTCTGTAATAGAAAGATGGCCGAGCTGGTAGAAGGACAGATATATATAGTACTAGCATAGCACAAGGTTTGGATGGATAAGAAGGTGTCAGACCTCTTAGAACCTTGCAGTCCAGGTGAAGTATTCAGGTCCTCATCCTATAAGCTATGAGTTGTTATTACTTCCAAAACATAAAGAGGAAAAGTGTCTGCAATAGATCTTCGGCGAACATGGAAAGCAGAGGCAGCAAGGTCCATGTTTTTCCTTTCTCCAGATAAAATGTGTGTTAGTCCCTTCTCACAGCGCCATGAAGTAATACCCAAAACTGGATAATTTATAAAGGAAAGATGTTTAATTGACTCACAGTTCCGCATGGCTGGGGAGACCTCAGAAAACTTGCAATCATGGTGAAAGGGGAAGCAAAGACATCCTTCTCCACATGGTGGCAGGAAGAAGTATGTGACCAGGGAAAGGGGATGCCCCTTATAAAACCATCAGATGACATGAGACTTAACACTATCACAAGAACAGGATGAGGGAAACCACCCCCATGATTTAGTTACCTCCACCTGGTCCCTCCCATGATATGTGGGGATTATGGGAACTACAATTCAAGATGAGATTTGGGTGGGAACACAGCCAAACAATATCAAAATGCAACCTAAAGCTACTCAGTCCAAGCAAAAGTCAAGTAGACTCCCCAATCCCAGATGATCCTAGAGAGGAATGCTTAAACTCAAAAGACTAACTGCTTTTGTTCTCCAAGAACCTCTTTGGTCTTGGAAGGATGCTCATTCTCCATTGTATTTTGCAGTGGACTATAGGGAAGGAAATTTCCCCCCTTCATGGGGCCCATCTGTGACTGTCATCATTTGGCTAGGCAAGCCTCCTTGAGAGTAATCACACTCTGGCATCAGCTGAATGTCAAGGGTGTTATTGCAGTTATAGCTGGTGGGATCTTTGTTTCTCAAATGAAGTTTTCTTATTCATAAAGTGCAGTCATCTCTTCCTGCTAATCATACCCTCAGAGAGCTGGATGTGTTCCTGAGCAGGGAGGACTTCTCTGAAATCAGCTTAGAGGAATGAGTGTGTGTCTGTTTTTCATGGGTGTCTAGAATGTGACTTCCGGCAATCTTTTCCACCATCAGCCCTTCCTCTCTGGCAGGACTCCCTTATCTCCGATGTCACTTGACCTTCCTGTGTTGCACTGTTATCCTGTGTTTTTCACACCCTGTCTGCAAAAGAGCTGGTCACCATTTTATGTAAAATAAGTTTCAAAATACAGAATTTAGCTGAGCAAAACAGAACCCGAAGTTTCATTTGAGATTGAATTTTAAATCTAATATTTATTCATGAGTTTTTGCAGTGACCTTTTCAGCACCTTTTTAAGATAACTTTCTTGTAAGAATTTACGCATATTAAGTTAATTATTCAATATACTTCACAGAAGACTTAAAATAAATGAAACTGTAACAAGATCTTTTGTGCAAATTGTGAGAGGCTGTCTTCTGCTTAAATTTCAGAACGCATATACCTACATGATGGGGGCTTGCGTGATTGTATTTAGGTTTTTCTCTATCTGTGGAAAGCACGTAAGTAGCTTGTGAAGAATCATCTCAAAGGTTATATATGCATTAAAGGATGGTGATTAATTGATTACAGTCTTACCCTGGGGTGTTGAGATGTAGTCACAAATTACTAGACATAAGTCAAGATTAACAAATATTAAATATTAAATGAATCAGTAGCTTAGTTACCTTTTGATGTGTTTCCTGCTATTTATGTTGCTTATTCTTTTTATCTAAAAATTAAAGATAATATATCAGTCGTGAAAACAAAAACCAATATTCTTTCTTAATGCATCTTTATTTTTTTCAATAAAGTAGCTTTACTTCAAAGCAAAAGAATCTTTAATGAATTAATTTTTATGTTCCATGTTTCCAGTTATTTTATTTATTTTTTTTGATGGGGTCTCTCTCTGTCAGCAGGCTGGAGTGCAGTGGCCTGATCTCAGCTCACTGCAGTCTTTGCTGCCTGAGTTCAAGCGATTCTCCTGCCTCAGCCTCCCGAGTACTGGGATTACAGGTGGAGGCCACCACACCAGGCTAATTTTTGTATTTTTAGTAGAGATGGGGTTTCACCATGTTGGCCAGGATGGGATTCCAGATTTTTTACATTCTTTGTTAATGTTCATGGGTATATTCCACATATATTTCTCATTTCTTACAATACAGTTTCCACTTTTATTACAAATGCCATTTCATATATACATTCCATAGATACACATAACCAATATATTTAATATTTGATAGTTTAGTATTATACCATTGCTTTCATTTATTTCTGTGAAAGTCTGTGGAAGAAACCTGAGTTTACTTGCTATCAGTCAAAAATGGATAGCCCCTATCATAGAGAATTGAGCAGGAGAAGAGAAACTGGAAGGTGAAAAAGCTTAGAGTGTTACTCTTATTAATTTGTCTGAAGGGACTGAACTGTTTGAAGAGAGAATAAAATTCACTCAATGCCTGGTGGGTTTTGAAGAATACTCAGATTTAATACCGACTAGAAAGCAACTTGCAAATGATATCATTGACAGTCACTCTTGAGCCAATCCGATTAAAGATTAGTTGCCACCCAGGCCTTCCATGGCATAATGGCTCTTAATGAATTGAATATTGTCTGTGTCTGTCTGTCTCTCTCTTTTTCTCTCTCTCCCCTCTTCCCTCCTCTTCCCTCCCCTTCCCACTCCTTCCCTCCCCTTCTCTCTCCTTCTCTGTCTCCGCTCTTCCCACCCATGGTCCACAGGTGACGCTGAAGATGCTCCTCCTAACAGTGGTGGTCAGCATGTACAAGAGCTTCTTTATCATAGTAGGCATGTTCCTCTTGCTGCTGTGTTACGCTTTTGCTGGAGTTGTTTTATTTGGTACTGTGAAATATGGGGAGAACATTAACAGGTTGGTGTACATTTATCTTTCTAATCATTTATCAAGCAAGCTCTTCAGTAATATAATTTTAAATAAACAAATGTTTTTTGTCTATTAAAGTCTAGGAAAGGGAAAAGGGATGTAATCAGTTGGAAATTAAAATAAAACGGCCAAGTTTTAAATGACATGTTTCCAGTGGAAACAGGTACTCAACTGAAAAGTCTTACTTTCAAAACCTTAGAAAATTTAGAAATAAAATAAAACAAAAAGAATCCATAATTCCACCAACACTCAGTAATCATCACTCCCAATTCCAGAACTTTTCCTATCTACATATTGCCAAAAAATTATATATTATTTTTAGATGAAACAATTTTAAGATAACTTTGGGTTTTATTCTCAGCAAAATATGGGAATTTAGAACCAACCTCCCAAATGGTTGAAATATGTGAAAAGCAGTTTTCAAGATGTGTCTAAATTTTATAGATGCATCTCATAGTTTTTTTTTTTTTTTAAGTCCTGAGACAACAACAAAGTTTATACCGATGTGTCTGGTTGTAGGAATTGTTATTTGATACATGGCTGCCCCACCTTTTATGGCATCGTCCAAGTGAAAGAAGGGATCACTTAGTTGCCAAAGCTTGCCTACTTAGTCATTCAAGATGAATGGCAATAAATTAGTGGTCATGCTAGAGTTGGGTGTTCAGACGGCTATCCTTGGAGGCAAGTAGAAATGATAAACTAATAAGATATGACCTTTGGAAAAGATAACTTAGCAACCACATTTGCTACTACCTCCACTTGCTTTGGTGGTGACAAATCATGCTATTTCATGACAAACCCTTCTATTCATATTCTGTTATTTTTTTCCCTTAAATTAGGCATGCAAATTTTTCTTCAGCTGGCAAAGCTATTACCGTACTGTTCCGAATTGTCACAGGTGAAGACTGGAACAAGATTATGCATGACTGTATGGTAAGTATCTCTCATCATAGCAATGCTTAGACTTAGAGTCAACATGAAACTCTTGCAACACAATGTTGGCAGGGTCATCCTTGTTAGCGTCAAGACTTTGTGTATGAAATATAAATCCTGACACTTTAGTCCCTAAAATTGCATCATTCTACATTCCAGTGTGTGAATATTTAAGTCAAAATATTCAATTAACCGAACTTAAGCTACTGTAGTTCCATTCAACAGATACGCGTTCTGTGAATGTGTTCTTTCCCTCCCATCTTTAATATTTTGGTAATCAAAGTCAAACAGGAAGACCTTTAATTTAACGTATTCAATGGATATTCACTGCCCCTCAGATATATGCTAGGTTCTAGGTCTTCAACAACGCCAAGACATGCTTGAGGAGCCTTCCTCAAGGGCTTTGAGCTACTCTTCCTTCATACTATACATTTTATACTTCCTTCCTACTGTATCCTGCTGCTCCGAGCATCATCCTCCTGGTGTCAGTTTAAACATCCATTCCTTCAGGTCTTTTGCCTGAAGCTAAGACACCAGCTATATGTTCTTGCTCTGCTCTATATTTCTCCTTTGTCATGAGTGTCACAACTGTAGTGAATTATTAGCTTACATTCATTTATTTTATCTATCTCTTATTATAAGACAGACCAATGCTGACTTAAACAATTTCTACAGTGATGGAAATCTGCACTGTCCAGGTCAGGAGCCACTAGCCATATGTGGTTATGGAGTACTTAAAATGTGACTGACACAACTGAGGAACTGAATTTTAGATTTAAGTTTATATTATTACATTTTAATTAACATAAATTTAAATTTACATGGCTACATAGAGCTAGTGGTCACCATATTGGACTATGCAGCACTCAACTGTCAGCAGGAAGACGAAACAGGGCCCATGTCTTTCTTACCAGTCTCTCCCCAAACTTGGTACAAACCCAGCACAGAGTAGGAGCTCTAGGACTTTATGCATGAATTAACAGGGACAGAATTTGCCAAATCAAATAGAACACGAGGCAAAACGTAACGAATCTTAAATAAAAATACAAGCATAATGCTGGGATTATAGAAGAAAGAGCTAGTTTCTCTGGCTGAGAGAAACCAGAAAGTTCTCTCAGAGGTGTTGGCATATTCTATAAGTTAATCATATTCTATATGTTTAGGAATCTCTTCATTAACTATAGTCAGCTAAAAGAAATTTGCATTCTCTACTCTTATCTTCTTCTCCTTCTTCCACCCCAATGCCCCAAAGGTTCAGCCTCCTTTTTGTACTCCAGATGAATTCACATACTGGGCAACAGACTGTGGAAATTATGCTGGGGCACTTATGTATTTCTGTTCATTTTATGTCATCATTGCCTACATCATGCTAAACCTGCTTGTAGGTAAGTGATGTTGAATTTTTTTTTTTTTTACTCTTTAAACTCAGGTACTTAGATAATTATGTACAATTTTCAAGTAATTATCCTGGATTGCTTGGTGTGGGTGTTTCATGGCATTAATTATAAATTGTTGTCTCTCCATCCAGAAGCGTCAAAGACCTTTGAAAGGCATGTAAATGACATTTGATTGCAATTTTAAGGGTTGTACCATTTATTATGATCGTTAATTTCAAAAGAGCTCTTCTCATGGATTGAGCTGAACAAATAGCAGAGAGGACTACTTTTCTAGCCTTGCAATATCACATTTCTGTATTTGAAAGGCATACCTTAATCACCCAGCTGTGGGGCCACCCAGAACTCAATTTGACCCTTAAGAACGGCCCTGGAACTCTCAACTAAGAGTTAAAGCCAGCTGGCATGACTGTCTCTATACACAGAATGTGTGTTTGTGCTTACGACCCTCATGTTTTGGAAAGGCAGGAGCTGGAGAAATAGCTTAGTCCAAGTGTAAACATGCCAATTTGGAAAACATACTAAAAGCACTTAAAAAATTTGGCTTATGATGTAGGTGATAAAATCCATTATTAATAATAGATGTTTTACTCTCTGTAAAATATGACAGATTAGCATAATGGTCTAATTTCTGAATTTTTCTTTTTTTAAAAGCCATAATTGTGGAGAATTTCTCCTTGTTTTATTCCACTGAGGAAGACCAGCTTTTAAGTTACAATGATCTTCGCCACTTTCAAATCATATGGAACATGGTGGATGACAAGAGAGAGGTAGGAGAGTGGGTGGTTGTTTCACGCCCCATCTCAAGGAGACCTATCAACACGTCTCAAACACTTAAATGGTTTTGAGGTTGGCAACTGACATAGATTGAATCTTAAATGCCATTGGTGAATTGCAGAAAGCTGTCATTTAGAGTTCAACAGCATCCAGGAAGGGAGAGGGAGAGTTGTTCCTCCTCACGTCATCGTCAACCACGAACATCCTCTTCTTTGGGCTTTCAAAAGGTCAGCAGGGAAAAGAGACCAAAGGGATTCTGAAGGGATCGGGCTTGGTCTCAGGGCAGGAAAAGAGGCGACATTGAAACTACCAAAGGGACAGTATATTATGAATTCATGATCACCTCAAATTCAAGCAGCAATCCCAGTTAAAAGTACAAAGGAGTTATTTAGGTGGTGTCTGAAGGTGCTAATTTATTTTTGAGTTATTATTTGAATGTTTTAACCATAAAGCTTACCCAGGATTTCTTAAAATTAGACAAAGTAGCAGCAGTTTGCTGTTCCTCTTCTTGTCATCCTTGTCATCAACCTGCACCTCTTTCCCTTCCTCCTCCTCCTCCTCCTCCACCTCCTGCTCCTCCACCTCCTGCTCCTCATCAACCTCCTCCTCCTCCACCACCTCCTCCTCCTCCATCTCCCCCTCATCCACCTCCCCCTCATCCTCCTCCTCATCCAACTCCTCCTTATTGACCTCCTCCTCATCCACCTCTGGCTCCCCCACCTCCTCCACCTCCACCTCCTCATGATCATCCACCTCCTCATCATCCACCTCCTCCTCCTCCTCCTCCTCCACCTACACCATCTCCTCCCCCCCTCCAGTTCCTCCTCCTCCTCCTCCTCCACCTCCTCCTCCTCCTCCTCCTCCCCTCCACCTCCTCCCCCCTCCACCTCCTCCCCCCCC